TGTCGAACAAATTCAAGATGCTTTGGCTAACAAGTTAGCATATAGGCCTTCTGTATCATCATACTGTGCAACTGTAATTACAACTGGGACGTTAATAAAAATCCACGGGTGGAAAAATAAGTAAAAGTACTGTTATACTAATTTAGTTTATTTGTTTATGTACTTGAAATTAATTTTAAAATCACATGCTGTACTTTTACTTAAGTGGTTTTGTGATTGTGTATTTCATTAATCTATTTCTGGAAAGACCTACAGTATTATGCTATGGCACAATTAGTTTAATCTAATTAAGTGTGCTTTGAATCTCTTATCACTTGTATGTCAGACTTTGAGAAAGCTTTCTTTGAAAGAAAATATCTCAGTACTTTAACATTATGTTACTGTGAGAACTCTACATCTACTTCAGTAAGATATTATAGTACCATTTCCATGGCCAATCAAGTGTGTGTACACTTTTTAAAGTATTTCTTTATAAAAGACAATGAAGAGGCAAACCACACTTTAACTTCCACAAGCTTACTTGTCACAGTTGCTAGCTTACTTGTCACAGTTGGAGATGTTGCAAAACAAAACAGCAGCTGTTTACTACACTGTGCCACCAAACCCTCTGAGGTTCATTACCAGAGCTAAGTACTGAAAATACATCACTCCGGAGATCTGAGTGTGACACATCTTTCCGATCAACAGTTCATAAACAAAGAAGTCATTAAGCTAATGACCAAACTTAAAGAAAGAAACAGTAGCCAAGTGTTGGTAACCATGACACAACAGATAGTTGTGCCTCACTTAGCAACAGAGTTCAGTGGGAGAAGAGATCAACTGATGGGTGATGACACACTCGCAGCCAACTAATCAGATTCTGGTAAACATTACTAACAAACTGCAAAAAATATTATTCTGAGGACCTTTCTTAGATCAGACCAATATCCTTCTATATAACATACAATAAAGAGTGCATGATGTATAAGGAGCCATAAAATGGTGAAGAAAAAGGAAACAAACAGAACAAACTTTTAATGTAAATTAACATAATGGTAAAACAGCATCTTCAAATACACTTCTTGAGTGATTCTTGAGTGTCATAATTCCTTTAATTTGAATGCTTCTGTGCACTAACAAGCTATAGTATACATGGATGTATTAACTTTTACACCATGGCAACTGACATTTTTATCTGCAGTGAAAAATACATAGATTCTTTAATTTTGTCATATTTTATTGTAATATAAAATTATATATACCATCACACAAGTTAAAATACTGTTAATTTGTATGAGGATAAGTGTGTGTTGTGTAGTGGGCCTTTTGGTGTAGCTTTTAGTAAAGTAAATGTCACAGCTGATACTAGGAAAACAGATGAAAGGACCCAAATGCAGACGCACAGAGGCATGGCTTATTGTGTATAGTCTCTAAAGATTTATTAACACAAAGAGGAACAAAGGCTCTCGGGATGTTGAGACAGGTAAAGGTCAAAACCAGAGAATGCATTCCAAACCGGCAAACAAATCCGGAAATTCGTGGGAAGGAATCCAAGAAGTCCAATAAAACGGCTAAATATCCAAAATCCAGGAAAAACAGGCAGGAAGAGTGGACATGGAGCTGATGAATGGAGCTCGGGGTCACAGACAAACAGCCCAAGGGCTGGGCAGGGGCGGAGTAGAAGACCCCAGACCGACCAAAATCTGCAGAACTGATGAGCAGGAGAACTGAGAATCTCAGACAGACAGGCAGAGCTGCTCAGGAGGGTGGACTGGAGGCTGGGCAGAAGCAGGGCCAAAGGCAGGACCATTCTGGTGTGCAGTGACGAAGGCAGGATCCCATTGGAGGCCAGCCAGGCAGCTGATGGCAGAGGCGGAGGAAGAGCAGGATACTGGTCCAGAGTAGTTGGCTAATGACTGGTGGGCTAGACAGGCCAATAGGCGAAGCTGAGAACCAGGCACATTAAAGACCGGCAACTGGAGCACCAGGAAGACAGCCAGATGACCTGGCTGGTCATCTTCAGTAGTCTGCCCGTTAGTTTGTTAGCAGGAACTGTCAACTGGAGATTAGGAGCAGGTGTGGCCAACTCAGTGTCCAGATGGGCGACAGCCTCAGCTGCTCAGCGACACAGAGCAGTTGAGGTTCATGCTGGAGGATAACAGGCAGGAGGTTAGCCTTCTGGGAGTTAGGCTGGAGGCTAGCAGATCCAGAATTTCACAGGTAGCAGTCCAAAGTCCAATAAACAGGCAAAAAGTAGTAATGGTACGTATGAAGCCCAGGCTCTGTGTACCTAGAATGAAGGCGTGTGCCAGATGAAGCCCTGCTTCGAGGCTTATATTGTTCTGCAGAAAACTATGTGACTTATGACAAACGAGGCCTTGCATTGCATGGTGCTTGCTGTGTCAGAGGGAGCTTCTTTGTCAATGCTTAGGCATTATCGAGCCATACATCTGTCGTTATTGAAATCATACTATATGTGGATCTGAGCAGAACCTCAAATGCCACAGAACATTACCTGGTAATATAAAAAGTGAGGATCCACTCAAATTCCTCTGTTCCTAATTCTCTAATTATAAATCATATCTTATCATATAAATCTCTCGTCTCTCATAACTGGCACTTTACCCGACACTGGAGAAATTATCACATTTTCCACTTTAATTTCATTTTTCATCATTCACTTGTCTTCTAACTGCCTAAATAATAAATTAAAAAATAACTAATAAAGCCATCATTCATTTAGTCTCATTGCATTACAACATATACAATGGCATCAAAAAGTCTTCAGATCCCATTCACTTTTTGCACATTTTATTGTGTTGTAGAATTTATTTTATTTTTGTCCATCAATCTGCATTCAATAACCCATCATAAACCCATAAAAGCCAAATTTCTAAATACATCTCAAGGATAATTAAAACAAGCAGGACTCACCTGACCACTGCTAAGGGTTTAAATACTTTTGTAATTGAGAAATTTCCATCCATCCATCCATTTTCTACCGCTTATCCTCTAGTAGGGTCGCGGGGGGGCTGGAGCCTATCCCAGCATCCTTTCGGGCGAGAGGCGGGGTACACCCTGGACAGGTCGCCAGTCCATCGCAGGGCACACAGAGACAAACAACCATTCACTCTCACATTCATACCTATGGTCAATTTGGAGTAACCAATCAGCCTAGTCCCCATTTGCATGTCTTTGGACTGTGGGAGGAAGCCGGAGTACCCGGAGAGAACCCACACAAGCACGGGGAGAACATGCAAACTCCACACAGAAAGACCCCGCGTCCGAGCCGGGACTCGAACCCGGAACCTTCTTGCTGTGAGGCGACAGCGCTAACCACTGCACTACTGTGCCACCCTGAGAAATTTCCATTTTTTAATTTTTTATTTTTTTTTATAAATTAGCCAAAAAGAAAAATCTAAAAATGTGTTTTCACTTTGTCATTATAGGTTACTGAATGTAACTTATTGTAGAATAATGGGCAAAAATCTACAACAACAAAGTGTGCTAAAGATAAATGGGTCTGAATGCTTTATGAAGCCACTGCAGGTTTTTAGACTTTGCCACTATTTGCAAAATAAGTCCAGGATGCTTGCAATGTGGTTGTAGTTTGCTTTGTTAGTGGTTGTCACAGGGCATCAAAGTTATCAGAAATTCAAAATGACAGTCAGACACACAATATACAGAACAAATGTACTATACAGAAAGATACACAGAGTGACACAGCCAAAACAACGACATGAAGGCAAGCAAACATTAACATTTAGTTATATGCAATTATTTTGTACCTGCTAATTATTAAGTAATCAGGGTTCTGTAGATGTGTACGTCCTATTAGATGATGTAATTTGTTAATCTGGACCTATTTATGACAAAATATAAATAAGGGGTTGGGCTATAGTAATGGTCAATATACTGAAATGTAAAACTGTATCAGTAGTATATTATATTATAGTAGTATTTTTTTGGTTTTCTTTCTTTTCTTTCAGAAGACACAAGAGGGCAGCAAATCACACAAAATGCAACAGATCCATACAGCATTGAATTAATGTGCTTTATGCACCATTGTTGGTATAAATGAGTTTAGTGTGCACTAATAGCGCCCTCTGCTGTATTTATGTTGTGGCTACACAAAGTAATATGAAGGGATGATTGTACTGTAGTATGGAAGGTTCTATAATAGCTAACCATTACCTATTGTTTATATTTGGACAGAAGATACACATGATATGGATGATTGGCAACACTCACAGCCTGTTTACTGTTTGCTTCATTTAAGGTGCATATAACACAATTTAGACACTGAGTCATATCTTTGTCAGATTCCATGTAGTGCTCCTTTAATAATCTGTAGATCAAAATTTTACTACAATTTCATCCTCATTTTTGTATGTTTTCCAAGAGTAAGCACACATCACACATCCATTAACTTAACAGGTTGCAAGAGGTATTATTTCATGCCATGGCAATTAGACAACCTTTTAAGAGCATCACATTAAAACAAACAATAGTAATAATTAATGTATATTAACATAGAAACAGCAGACTAACAAGGCTAACAAAGCTCTATATACAAGTCCTGAAGTTCATTACTGACAAACACTGGTGATCTATTTGTAAACATGTTTGTATTGGGTGCAAGTGCTGGAGGAGGGAAAATGATCGGTATTTGCAATTGATTTTCAAGCATAGTAGTACAATAATAAAGCAATAATGAGTTACTTGCTCAAAATGTGGCAGTAATTGTTTAGCTTTACTTTGTACAATATTTAGTCAAAAGGCAATTACTGTCAAACACATTCTGTGCTGTAGTTTTCATATGCATTAGTTGAACATTAACTTTTGTCAGAAACATTCTTGAACAACTCAAAGGAACTGTGCTTTATTAGCTTTTTAGCTAAAAGAAAGGGATTTTGTAGCAAAGAATTTATTTATAAGGTAGCAAGACAAATAAAACATTGATGGAAGAAGAAAATCTCTCTTCAGTTTCAGCTCACTGCATAAAAAGCAGAGACAGGGCATCAACTTGGAAGGATTTTATTTCTTAAAAAGTGCACTACTTTTTCTTTAATTTCTTTTGTTTTCAGTCCATAGATGATTGGATTCACTGTTGGGGGGAAAATTAATGTTGACACCCCCATGAATCTCCTTAAATGTGGAGAAATGTTTTTTATTCTATATGATATGATAGTGAAAAGCCCCAGACACTCCAACAGGAGAAAAACTGTTAGGTGTGTAGCACAGGTTTGCAGAGCTTTGGTCTTAGTGTCTGATCGTTTAGATCTGAAGCATGCAACAAGGATCTGGAGATATGTATACAAAATCATTCCATTAGCAATCACTTGTGTAAGAGCAACTATAAAAAGCCCGTAAATGTTATTGATGGTAGTGTTGGCACAGACCAGAGACAGCAAAGATGGATTATCACAGTAGAGGTGAGTCATTTCCGATCGACAGCGGGGTAAACGCAAAAGCAGAATAAAAAGCACAGTTATTAAAATTAAACAACTTATCCATACAGTTGTGATTATTTTCATAATGTGAGCATTAGTCATAACAGTGTTGTATTTCAAAGGGCAACATATAGCAATGTATCTATCGTATGCCATAGCAGTCAGAATAAACACAGTACCTCCTGCATAGATATGGATAAAAAACGCTTGGACAACACAAGCTGAGTATTGCATAGTCCTGCTGTTGGTCAGTACTTCTTTAATGATCTGTGGAAAGAGTGCTGTGGAGCCTATAAGGTCATTGATAGGAAGGTTGAGCAAAATTAGATACATGGGCTGATGCAAAGATTTGTTTAGTACAATGGTGAGGATTAGAATAAGGTTGGAGAAAAGTATGATCATGTAGCTCAGAGTTGCAAAAAGAAATGCAGGAATGACACTTTCAGGAGGGAGATTAAAGCCACTTAGCACCAAAGTAGATGATGTGTTGTACAGGTTGTCCATTTTTATGCACCTCCTCCCTAGAACGTTGAAAAATGATTAGTCATTTCATTATTAAATTGCATTTTTCTATTTCATGCATCATGCAACATCGCCTCAGCAAGAACATGGGAGGACATATTGAGACAAGAAATGGATAAAGAGACAATGATATAAAAAATTGCAGTTAAATTTATTTAACTGCAACTATATTATATAGTTATAAGCAAATTTGTTGCAAGTTGTTAATGGTAAGGACAGAACTAACCAAATGAAACGAAAACCGCATCCGCACCGCTTCACCTCGAGTACACATACATTTCACACATCATATATAGCCTATATAAATAACACGTTAGTGTATTAGATAAATAATAAGACAAATTACGGCACAGCCATCTACTTCCAAGTTAAATAAATCATCACTACCCAGTACTGGCAATGCTGGAAATGACCAACTGGCAAGACCTTCAGAGGGATTACCAGTTATATAGACATGATTTTTGTTGAACAGCTAGCAGCTCCCTGGAGTCTTCTGGGTTATCATAAAGTTTATCTTAAGATTGTCATGACAGTCACTGACTCTCAAGGGGTTTTGGAAGAATATGACTTATAGTTGCCTCACCACCACCCACACAGTGAAATAATCGAAGTCAAAATGTTTGAGCCTCTAAACCGCTGTTTATTACATCATAAGAAGTGGCTGTACGTAAGGATAAAATGACTTTTTTACAACCGTGTCTCCTAGAAATTACATTTATATACAACTAATTTGCAATAGCAAATGTGTTTTGAAGGAAACTAATATTCCTATTAACATAATGAGGAAATTATTAATTATAATTATTAATAATTATTAAGTATTTAACACATCTGACAAGTCGCAAAAACATTGATACTGAACTTATACCAGTAAAATGTTAACATCCATCCATCCATTATCTATACCGCTTATCCTTATAGGGTCGCAAGCGGACTGGAGCCAATCCCAGCTGACATTGGGCGAGGGCGGGGAACACCCTGGACAGGTCGCCAGTCTATCACAGGGCTGACACATACAGACAAACAACCAGTCACGCTCACGTTCACACCTATGGGCACTTTAGACTTGCCAGTTAACCTATTGTGCATGTCTTTGGACTGTGGGAGGAAGCCGAAGCACCCAGAGGGAACCCACGCAAGCACAGGGAGAACATGCAAACTCCACACAGAAAGGCCCCAGGCCCTGGGTTCATACCCAGAATGTTCCTCATCGCCATGCCACCCTGCAAAACATTAACAATATATTTCATTTATTTTTCACAAAAATATCCAATCTTGTAATACTGTACCTACTGACTACAGCATTATTAAACTTTTTTTTATGGTTATGTTCAGGAACTCACTGGTTAAGGTTAGGGAAAGATCATGGTCTGGTTTAATACAGAAAGAATTCATAGTGACTTGAATCACAAATCATAGCATGATTATTAACATGTAACTAAAACCACAATCTTTCCTTAACCTTAACAATAGTGCTTTTGTTGCCTAAACCTATAAAGCACTACAACATGTCATGCTTTGGAAATTAGCTTGTAGCTAAATTTGGTAAATTGCATTTTTTATAACATAGATTTTTTTGTTTTTTTTTAACATGGTCCTGACAAATATATGTATTAACCTAAACAGTTGGGACCCAGGATGCAAACCTAGGTTTCTGGAGTCAATGTCAGCACTTTGCATGTTTGCCATCCACCTCCACCCTGTGACTCTGGTATGGTAGATAAATGTCATGCCTTAATCACTTAAAAAGACCTCGTCTGTGAACATAATCCAGGCAGGAACTGCATTTGACAACTTTGTTGGGAATACAAACATTTTATTAATATATAAATGTAATTTCTAGGAGACAGGGTTGCTCTCAGCCAGAATCCAGATATAGATTTAAAAAAATGTTTGCGCCTTTTCAATTACTAAAATGACACAATTAGAAGAGTGTCTATCAATCAATGTTTCCATCATCAACCTGGGTATATTGTGCTGATCACAGTCTCACTGCTGCGTTTCACACAATAATGTATAGCAATTTTTGGCGCCCTTTTGTGGTAACATCAGAGGAGACAGAGTGGCAGAGAGCAGTGCATGCTGATGACCCATTCAACCCCAAATGATGTCATCTGGGTTATTTTGCCTTGGGCCTATGGCTTTTCAAGTGTGGGGTTCAAAGTGGGTATTTAGAGACAAAAACAAGACTCTTAAGCATTGGATATGAAATAATTTTCTGCAGTTAAACACAAATAAAACGGAAATCCTGATTATCGCGTAGGACAACCTTCTCTCGTTGATCTAATCTTGGTGCCTTTCTCCTCCATCCATTCAATCCAGTTGGAAAAGTTGTTTGGAAAAGGGCAGTCGCAGTCTGTCAAAATTCTGAGCAGCTTTGAAAGCTAGTGAGAATGTTGGGGGATGATTCTTCATCTTTGAGAGGAAAATTTGCACATAAAAGGCACTCTGATGAATACCAGAGCTGTCACTTTTCTGTAGGTTCTAGTAGTTCCATTGGTCTGAACCACTGCGGTTCAGCCACAAGCGAATTGCTTTGAGCGTAGAACGATGGATTCTCGACTGTATACCATTTATAGTCAATGAGATTTTAACACAGTGAAATTTGGCAACAAATGTATTTACTTTCATTTACTTTTATTGCAATGTCAAGGAAGTCACAAGGGTTGCACATATTTGAGATAATCATTGTTTTATTTTAGTCCATCGATACAGTCCACATATTAGAAATGATCAAATTAGTGTTGAGACGTTCACATTGGTGCTAAATTAATAGAGAAACAAATAATATAGAATATTTCAACAAAATATTTCACTGTATGTCTTTCCTTTTGCAAGGATCTTGTCCACTTCATAGTTACATTTATTAAAATTACTTACAGTGGCTATCATAGGGGGAGAAATGAAAGTTGTTGATGTGTGTTCTGTAGAGGTTATAGCACAGCTGACAAACACAAATGAACATACATATGAACATTAGAAAAAGACATGTACAGCTTATTCACAAGACATACAGTGTAATCATCCAACAGAGCGATGCGTTAACTTCTCCACAGTGCAGTAACATATGGCATATTGCTATTGATGGATACTCTCTAAACCTTCAATGATACAGGAAACTGAAATCAGGTTTATCACAATGTACAGTGGGAATAAACAGTAAATGAACCCTTTTGAAATTACCCGTTTTTTTAATTGTTCATAAAATGTGATCTAAACTGGTTGGACCTCCTTTGACAACAATAACCTCAAATAAGCATTTCCAGTAGCTGGGGTTTCACATACTTTTTCCAACTTACTCTGTGAATGATTGAATGATGTTTTTCAATATGGACAAGAACAATACAATGATTTATTATTATTTATTATTGAGTTATTAGTTCAACTAGATTGTATTTGGTCGTTATTGTAACCTAGATGAAGATCTGACCATATGTTAAGACAAATTTACGCACAAATGCAGAGAATTCCAAAGGGGTCACTAACTTTTTCTTGCCAGTGTAGGTGTACCTAAGGCATAATGTCATCATGTCATGTTTCAACAAATTCTGACTAAAATCGAAAACTGGTTAGAACTTGGTTGAACAAGGATTTCTTTTTAGGAACATTATAATGCTCTGCTTGAGTTCTGCGGTTTTCAGTCCATATATAATTGGATCTAAAAGAGGGGGAAATATTAAAATTGACACACCAAGAGCCCTTCTCACGTATGGGGATGCACTCTCAATCCGATGAGCAATGAGCGTACCCACAGTATTGATTTGTAAGAATAAGAAAACAACCAAATGTGTTCCACAGGTCTGCATGGCTTTTTTCCGGGCATGTGACTGGTTAGTCATAACACATGTACGCAAAATCTGTGCATACGTGTAAATTATTATAAACAGTGATCCGCCTTGAAGCAAGCAGATACCAGCTATTCCATAGAGGTTGTTCACCGTGGTGTCCTCACAGACCAGTTTCAATAACGATGGATTGTTACAGTACAAATCCACTACATTCGTCCTGCACATTTTTAATCGCACAAGCAACAAAAACAACGTGACCATCACTGAGAAATTTATGAGCCATATTGCAATGATAATTCTAATTAAGGTATTTGGAGTCATGGTAACGTTATACCTCAAAGGACAACATATGGCAATGTATCTGTCATATGCCATAGCACTCAAGATCATCAAGTTTGCTGTACCATAAATATGAATCAAAAAAGCCTGAGTTATGCATGCAGGATGGGGAATCAGTCGGTTCTCTGTCACAATGCTGGAAAGTAGCTGAGGGAAAAAAGCTGTAGCTCCGACCGTGTCACTGATGGGCAAGTTGAGCAGCAGGATATACATGGGCTTATGTAGCTTTTTACTCACAACAATAGCTGCTAATACCAGCAAATTGCAAAAGACAATAATTAAATAGGCAAGTGTTCCAAATACAAACACAGGATAAATATGTGAAGTATATAAGCCCAATGTTGCCAGTGTAAGTACTATCCCAGAAGATGCATTTGTATACATAATTATACAGCCTTGTAGTGTTGCCTCCACTATTGGGAAAAAAAGTTCCTTGAAACTGATGGAGCTTCACCTGAAAGAAATGTCCTTATTAACAAACAAGTTTAAATGAAGTGTTGTGCATTGAAATGTACTCCTATTGTCTTACCTGTCGTAGTACGTTATCTTACCCTCACCTGTGCTGTGTTGTAAGAAGCCATGAAAATGACTGTCTTTTATAGGCATTTACTGTAAACACAGAGATAACCCATGAGAATACAAAGCACATTACATCATAGTGCAGGAAACTGTTGTAACAAGACTGACATAGTTTATATATATATATATTTGTGTAGATATTTTATTTATTGTTTTACCCGATGAATACATTTAAATCCTTGAAATCCTCGACTTGTCTCTGAATGATCAGAGTTTTGACCACAATTATGCTGCAGTACACAGCCAGTGACAGCACCAGTTTCACTGTAGAGAGGAATGAAGGAAAAACTAATGCATCTCTTCAATCCAGGATGTTACTTCACTCTCTGATCAAACAGTGATTTAGGAAAAAAAAAAAATCTCATGCATGGCAAAAATGATCAGGGAGCATCGGTATACCAAATCAAAAGGTTATATGATCATTGTTTACATTTTGAGATAGGGTATCATCCAAATTTTGTAGGTTAAAGTGTGTGCACTGTGCATTGTGTGAAATTTGCTATACTTTGTGTGGGGGAGTCTAAGGGCAAGACTAGGTTCAGGGGTAACAGCAGAATTAATTTCTTTCTTTGCCTTGGCATCGGCTGTGACCTACAGTAGTCAGTGTACCATTCTCTTATTAAATCATCAGGAAAACTCTGGTAGCACTACGGTATCTTCTTCCTTTGAAACATCACATTTGGGGTCAGACCACAAGGAAACTTTCTTCCATCCACAGTGCGAACTCCCTGGTATGATAGGAAAGTTAACTAGGAATTATTTCATGCCTTTTTAAATGTTTAGCTTCAGCTTGAAGTTTCTCTTCTGTAAAGAAATCTCTACAGCTAATGATGTGGGCAAGTCACAAAAATGATATATATGGATGTTTATATGATATATAATATGGATGTGAATTTTAAGTATATGTGCTCTGAGTATGATGATTAAAATGTTTTTTTCTGATCTTGCTTAACAACTACAAGTTCATACCCTGACGCACCAGATGGTTTCTTACACAGAACCATCTGGGAAGGAAATTGTTTGGAAACTGAGAGGCACTTTCAGAAAAATCATCATATGAGGTAGTAGGACAGTGGTAAAAAGGAAACACAACACAACAACAGGCTTCAGTCTGAGGAGCTTGGAAAGCCAATTGTCAGTGGACAATTCTTGCTGACTTTGTAAGGAAAATGTGTGTGTAAAAGGCAGTCTTACAAATGCCAAAACAGTCACTTTTCTTTAGCTGCCACTAGTTCCTCCCTCAAAGCCATAAGCAAGTAGCTTGGAACCTGGCAGGATGGACTTTTGTGAGAAATCTAGCAAAGACTTGGTTTGTCTTTGCTGCTACTGCCTTTCCACACAACTCCATAATGAAATTCTTAAATTTCATTTACACTGGGTACAGTGTAAATTCTCTTTGTTTCATTTATTTCAACATGTCAACATTGCTAATGCTACGTAATATGACTTATGGATCTGAATGATGTGCTCTAAATATAATGATTAAAATGTTTTTGTGATCTCTGCTGTCTCTGGTTTGTTAATGGAATTGATTGTGAATTAAGTAGCAACACATTTTGTCAAATGGTCTTTTATTTTACTTGATGAGGCACAAAAAGGATAAATAATGGTAAGGTAATCGCAAGGTAATGAACTTCTGAACTACTGTAATTATTGGTATAGTAATAAGTAGTCAACTAATCGGGAAGGACTTGTGAAGGTGTTCAGTATGTGGATTCATGGATATTTATGAACTAATCATTACATAATGACTCAGTCATATAGTATCTTTAAGTCTGTCCTCCAACACAAAGAACATTTTAATGTCAAAATTTCTGGCAAATTTATCTCAATCTTTTTCTTTCAGTTACTGTATATTAAAACGATACCTGGTTATACAAATGTTATTTGTGCTGTTTTTCATTTTTGTTTGTTTTCATTGAATTACTGAAACAACTTGAAATATGTTTCAGATTTTATTAATGGACCACACAGCAAACATCAGCACATCTTGTATATATTGTACAAACTTTATTTTTGTTTGTTTTGGATTCAGCAATAATAGCAGTGCAACTGCAAGTTATTTGCATTACACACACCAGGTAGATGCAGTATGGTGCATGGAGTGCACGAAAAATAAATAAAAATGTGAACACTAAAAGAAGACAGCCTACAAGGTTCACTCTCCTTTCTAGTGTATATTTATGCAGTCATCTGTGAAGATGATAATAACAAGTAAAGCAGCTAAATTTCAGACAGTTTTCAAAAGACTTAAAATGAAAATGTAATTTGAATGTTCAAAGTTCATTATGAGATTAATATCTAATATAATTCATAATTATTCACCATTGTACAACACATATATAACACACACCAACAGAAACACAAACAGAACCACAATAAAAACTTTTTTCCAAAGTAGTAACATGCATACATATATGTATATTTATACATGGAAATATGTTCCACACATTTTCCAAATATTTTTTAATTTTTATTTTCCAACAACTTGTACTTAGGAAAAAACTATATTCAAATCCAAAATAAAATTCTGTTCTACACTAGAAAACAAACAACTGTTGAAAGTGATTTTAGTTCATGCAGTTATTACGATTCCAAACACAGTGGATATTGTTTCCAAAATAGCATTTACACTGTCAGAGTGCTCCTGAGATAGAACAGTGCAGTTCAAAAAGACAGAGTTCATTACTGTTGATCACCTACACTTTACTATTATAAAGAGAAGGTCTAGACCTCCACTACCCTCTAACTCATGTTGTGAATTGGCGCTACACAAATAAAATTGACCGAAAGATTTAGACAGATACTCTATTTTTTAAGACTCTCAGGAGTGTGTGTCTTACTTCACTCGTATACAGCCCATATACAATTGGATTCAAAAGTGGGGGTACAAGAAATATTAGCATGCCCATTATCTTTTGCAAGTCAGCTGACACATTTTTGAATCTGTGAGATAAAATTGTGAAAGTTCCAACAACTTCAAATGTGATTAATATAACCAACTGAGCAACACATGTGTTGACAGCTTTCGTCTTTGCTTGAGACCTTCTTGTAGCCACACATGTGATGAGAATCTTCACATAGGAAAATGCCTGAACGGACACACTTACAGCTTGCATGACTGCTGTGTTAAACAGTCCTATGACATTATTGACTGTCCTGTTTCCACATGTGAGCTTCAGTAGAGATGGGTTATCACAGAACACATTCATAACAACAGATTTGCACCTTGGGAGCCTTGTCTGCAAAGAGAACAGTGATACAATCAAGACAAAGTCAAGACCCCAAACTAGAGAGATAATACAAATGACAACCCTGGGGGTCATAACAGAGCTGTAGCGTAACGGCATGCAGATGGCAACATAACGATCAAAGGACATTGCTGCAAGAATAAACAAAATTCCACCTCCATACATGTGGAGCAAGAATGCTTGTAAAACACAGAGAGGATAGTAAACCTTATTTGTCTCCGTAACAATATCTGAAAGTACTTTTGGTAGCATTGCAGTTATGCCTATCAGATCATTGAGCGGAAGACTGAACAGGATGAAATACATGGGTTTGTGAAGGTTCTTCTTCATAATGATCAAAGTCAACAAGGTCAGGTTGCAAAAGATGCCAAAAAAATAAATTGTAATACCAAGAAAAAATATGGGGTACTTTCCTCCGGGTGGAATTACGAATGGATCCAGGGTTAACTCAGAGAGGAACCCAAAAGATTTGTTTTCCATTTTCGCCTTGATTAGTGAGAAAAACAGTCATGATAATTCATTGTTGGAAATTGAGTCAAAGTCTAAAGCAGTCACAGTTTAGACAGCTTGTCACTTTCAAAGTAGTGGTACATGAAGTGCTGAGACCTGCCCTGCCCACCTTGCTTTATGTAATGCCACCATGACCTTTACTTGTTTACGTCATCTTTTGCCTCTGGGATTGTCAGTGGCTTTGCTAAGATGAATAATGTCAGGATTACTGAAAGTTAAATGTTTTGAGATCCCTGTATAAAGAAAAATGAACCTATGGAATCCTGCAGGTATTAAAGGTACATTCTTTTTTATTAAAGTACTTTTCCAGAAATAATATGAATCTTCAAATTACAGCTTTTTTAAATGAATGAATTTTAGGTCCAAATAAATTACTAAAAGTGTGTCCTGAAATTACTTAATGTGATGTCACCAGTTAGAGGTGATGTTAGTGGCTTCACTATAAAAAAAACCCTTCAAATTACTGAATCCATTCACAGCAAATGAATAAGATAAGATTAGATGGTGATTACAAGTAACAGCGAAAGTGACATAAGGAACAGGCTAAAGATATGACGGGTAAAGCACAATTTAAAATGAAATGGATACAACAGAAATACAATAAGGGACTACCATTAAATCCATTAAGAGTTTTATTGCACCTACACCAGTAGTATCTGATGTGAGACTGACTTTTTTTTTCTTTGGAAATGTGGAGCTGTAGCTAACCTGGTGATTGATTGTATTCAAACAGAAAGAATCAGGCCTTATTAAAGAAAAAATATCTTCTCTCCATGCAAAAAAGATGAACAAGTGTTCTGTAGCAATAAGCGGGTTATGATTCAAATAATATATTTGGGACTTAATAATGACCAGTACTGTTGATCCAAACATTTCCTTAGGTAGTTCCATAACCACTGTTGATTCAAAGGAGTGACAGAAAGTTATTTTGAATCCTCACTAAATTGTAAAAACATTATGGTACCGCATCAGTGGCCTGTAGGCTCTCATAATAATTGTTTTTTATTTGACATTAGAAATAGGCTGTAATCTTTTCAGTCACATGTCTTTAGGTATAAGGCTTTTCTTAATTATCAATTATATTGAATGTATTATAGTCTCTACACTGTGGGACAATCAATCCAAAGAGGCTGGGCTTTTTATATATCCACTATTTTGCAATCACTTTAACCTGTTACATTTACAGGTATGTCTGTTTTATAATCCCAGCAACAGCGTTAGTTGTCATTTTAATGGTGGACTATGAAGTCTAATTTCAAATCCACATTCTGGCCTACAGTGCTGCTGAGACCTGGCTGGATTTCAAAATTTGGCTTTAAAATTATTTTCTTTTCCTTCATTTCCATTACATTAAGGTTTTAATGATATTGCACAGGAATAACAGGAATACTGGAAATGATCTTTTCCAGGAGCTTTACGGCTTAAATGGCTACTGCGACAATATCATGTAACTGGATACACTACAAGTTGACAGAATTACATCAGCTAGATGCCTCATTACTTTTTCGAAACTAATTTATTAATGAGTCCCATTGAGACATGATTAAATGATGTGTTATTAACTGTCTCACAACACAATTAATCTCTGGACAATTAGCCTAGTAAACCTCTGGTTGATAATGACTGTCCTTGTTATTTGCTAATGAGGATGTTGTTAAATAACACCCATGGGAGGCTGTAGCCAGTGAGTTTGCATGTGACATGATAACTTGTAAACATTTGATTCTTTAACTTGAATCAAGTGTGTTTCTATGTAAAACATTTTAACAGATTAAATTCACAGTTAGTTCAAGTGCTACAACATAGTCTTTACTGAAAATGTGTTTGTCCTCCATCCATCTTCATTGTTTTATACAAAGATATTCCTACTTTTAATGAATATGTGAAATACCTCAATAAATTCAAAATATACAAATATATAACCATATAAATATTGTACTGTTGGGTCCTTTCGTATTTTTTGATACATCTGACAAGAGAAAAATTCTAATTGAAATAGCATGTAACTGAAGTGGTCACATCAGGCGTTTGGGGACTAGTTCATTGTTCATGCACACAAAAGGGCAGTTAGGACATTAGAACATTAGACTAATCGTCTCACCCAAGAGAAATGGACGTAATTGACCCTTGCATTGCTTTGTTAATTGATTTGACCCTCGAATTACTTTCTCTGGTCTTTCCCCTGTGCACTTTATAACAATTGTGCATGGCTCAAGCAGAACACCACGTCAGGTTTCACTCCTGTCAGCCAAGAACAGAAATCTGAGGCTGCAGTGGACACAGGCTCAGCAAAACTGAACATTTGAAGACTGGAAAAATGTAATGTAGTCTGATGAGTCTGGATTTCTGCTGAGGCGCACAGACGGTAGGGTTAGAATTTGGCATGAACAGCATGAATCCATTGACCCAACCTGCCTTATGTCAACAGTCCAGGTTGGTGGTGGTGGTGGCTTAATGGTGTGTGGGATGTTTTCTTGGCACACTTTGGGTCCCTTAATACCAGTCAATCATGGTTTGAATGCCACAGCCTGTCTGAGTATTGTTACTGACCATTTGTGTCCCATTATGGCCACAATGTACCATCATCCAATGACTTTTTTCAGCATGATAACGCACCATGTCACAAAGCAAAAGTCTCAAACTGGTTTCATGAATATGACAATGAGTTCAGTGAACTTCAGTGGCCTCCTCAGTCACCAGACCTGATTCCAATAGAACACCTTTGGGTCATCAATTAACATAATGAATATGAAGCACTGGGTTTGGGTTTGACTGGTGAAATGTATTTAAAAAAATACCAGATGAGGGGGTTGACTTAAATTCACAAAAAGGATGTGATGTCCTGTTGATTAAAGGGGCATCTCACCTCTGACCTCTGACCTCAGGGGCTTTTTAAACTTTCACTTGCCCACCATGTGTCTAAAGCTTTCCCTACCTATCCATGTGGGAATCTACAGTTCAAGGAGCCTAACCCTTGTTAAATGAAGCACTTTTGCTCCAGTGTTACTCAGGCAGAAGATAAAAGAGATCAAGATCCAGCAACTCCAGATTCCCACTTCCACAGGCAAGGTAGTATCCTTTATTAGAACAAATTCTCTAGACTTATTTCAACATACAACACTGAGACTATGCCTGCTCATAGTTTGTGTTGAGCATTTATTGGATATATTTACGGGATAAAGGCCCTCATCAATGGAACTTTGTGCTACCACTCTGGATGTGTATGGTTGATTTTATGTTTATCATGTAATTGTCTCTTCTGCAGAACACACTGATGCACATTGTATTGCTACAGGAGAAGGAGGCTCAAATTAATAATCAAAAAGTAAGTATTGTCTTTGCACATATGACATTTTTGATTTTTAATTGAATAAATGTTCATATTTTAGATGTTTTTTTTTTCCATTTGTCTTTTTAGATTAAAAAAATAAATTTGCAATTAAAACAGAATCGTGCCTAATATGCAACACAAAATGTTTCCCATAAACATTTATTTTTGTTTCAGAGTAGATTTTTTTTCCCACCATCACTACCATTAATTTTTTTTTCTCTTTCAGGTTTTCCATCAAGTTAAACAGAATGGAAAGAAACATGACAATTTCAAGTGATATCTTAGCGATCCAAGGTTTTGACATATCTCCAGAGTTCACATACCCTCTGTTTTTCTTGCTGCTGTTTGTTTACTTTTCCCTGCTTTTTTCTAACATTGGAGTTCTCGTACTTATCATCACTGAGAAGAGTTTGCACCAGCCGATGTACATTCTCTTTTGTAACCTGTCTGTCAATGATCTGATAGGTAACACAGTCCTACTGCCTCAGCTGATGGCTCACATCATTTCAACTGAACGGTTTATCACCTATAACCAGTGCGTGATTCAAGCCTTTCACAGCCACACGTTTGGTTCAGCTTCACACATGATTCTCGTCATTATGGCAATCGACAGATATGTGGCCATATGTCACCCCTTACGGTACAGCTCCATTATGACTACCAAGACTGTGTTCTGGCTGTCAGCAACTGCATGGGGGGTGTCATTAGTGCTCGTGTCTGTTTTGATAGGTCTTACAGTGAGGTTGTCCCGGTGTAGATCAGTTATACAAAATGCTTACTGTGACAATGCATCACTGTTCAAGCTTTCTTGTGAGGATGTCTCCATCAACAATATCTATGGACTCTTTTTCACTGTGCTACTGTTTAGTTGCTCAATTGGAGGCATAGCGGTCACCTACTTCAGAATAGCTCTCATCTGCTGGATCAAGAAAAACAAAGAGTTGAATAACAGAGCACTGCAAACGTGTGCTAGCCACCTTGTTCTTTATCTTATCATGCTCTGGTCAGGATTTTTAACCATCATATTGCATCGTTTCCCAAATTACCCAGATTTAAGGAAGATTGCATATATTTTATTTCATGTTGTCCCTGCTAATTTAAATCCAATCATTTATGGAATGCAAACAAGATCATTACGGGATAAAATTATCCAAATATTGCAAAGAAAATTGTCTCCAACCTAATGTCTCCTACCTCCATTCAAGACATATAAACAGACATAAACAACATGACAGACCTGTTCTAAAGCCTGTCTGTATCTGACACATGATATTTGTCTCAATTGCATGTAATAAGTCACTTTAAATTTAAGTTGCAGTTCCTTCTGCATACTCTTGTAAGTATGTGTAATGAATATTTGTTTCAATATCCAAAAAAAACTCAGGCAAACAGGCAAAGAAACACAAGCTCTTTATCTTCTGTTATCAAAGTTAATACTGTTAATGGATAAATTAGATAAGTACATCTACTGATTTTCAAGTTACATTTCTAAATTCAACACAGCAGATTATCATCATAAAGTGTAAAGACAGAAGAGTGAGTATCAATACTAGTTTCCCAGGCCTTTGGTGCTAGACCCCCATAACCAGCTCTCTACCAACCTCTTGTGTTTCAATGCCAGAACAACATCAATAATGCTTTGGGTTATGTTAATTTTGATTATTACAAGATGAATTCACACAAATTCCTTCAAAATGATAAAATGATCATTTCCATTGACCTTGCCAACCTTAACAGTTTATGTAAAAATGACTACCAGTAAATATACAATTAATGTTTATCCATGTATTTATTTTTACTTATCGAACTCAGATGTCAGTACTGTGTTTCATTACACTACGATAAAATATAAAAAAAACTTTTTATACATATAATATGCATACAGTTATATGTACACTATTTTAAGATATCTGAAATTAACAGCAGTTTCCTTTTTATTGATTAATGAATCTATTAACATTTTTCTTCATTCGCTGCAAAATGGGTGCTAAAAATAGAGATAGAGATAGAGATTTAAGTTGGTAATTGTGTGCCTCATTAAAGATTTACAGGACTAATAACACTGCAGAATGACTGAGGTCATAAAAATTAAATTTGAAAAACATTTGTATATGATAAAATGAAAACACACCAGGGAGTGAGTCCTAATAACAGTTCAGTTTATATTGGAGCATTACTTACTATTACTTTTGACTCTAATAACAGGATTTGATCATATACGCAGTTGAATTATTAGCTCAGTTCTCCTTGATTGCAGAGTTGTTCTAATCTCCCAGAAATTATGGTCTTCCCACATACATTGTACAAGAGTAGGCTGAATACATTTCTGAATAAGATGATAAGAACTGTTCTATTCACAAAAAAATACTGTCTTTGTCTTTCCTCAGCGTTTGCTGTAATGAGGATGTATTTCCATCTAGTAGGCCACAGATCTTGTGATGAAAGGTCAATCAGAGGTCTCATCAGGTCCAGTGGTCTGATTAAAGTTGCCCTCACATCAAATCTGGCTCAATAACAATTCTCCACTTCTCTGAATGTAGCAGAGCATGTTTTTCAAATAGTTTTTCAAATCAAAAGTCATTCAAAACACAGTTCTACTGATTAAGCATTCAGTCTGTTTTCCTTTGGCTTCAGATTAAAGAGTTATGGCCCATTTTGCAACGTAAAAACCAGGGATAATACACATCAAGAGAGGAGCAAATGGTTGTGATCCAGGGGATTTAACAGATAATCCATGTGGGTTACACTGAGACTTGTTTTCTCATGTTGTGATTTCATACACAGAACCTTCCCTGGTTGTATGTTGACTGTTCTGTAAAGTTGGGTGATTTTCTCTTTCACTGATTAATTTCATGATAATAAAATTACATTTAGAATTACATTTTACAAATTGCAATTATTAACTCACACTCATACTAGTGTATTTATTTATCAATGTTTGTATTGATTTTCTAAATTAAATTAGTAAAATAAAGCCAAATTTTCATTATTTTCCACCCATACACAAATGTAATACATGTTCATCTACATATATAGAATTTCCATATATGACATAGGCCTATATGTACATGTAAATTAAAAGCACATATGAAAACACTGAGTATGTAAAAATATGTACATATATATATGAAACCTATTAGAAACTTATTCAATTGGAATAATTTTATGACATACAGTATGTATCTAGCCCATACAAATATGTATGTCTATGTACTGTATGTATGCTGTAGATATATTACATAAATATATCAATATATCAAATTCATCATATATTCATTCAAAGCATGTTAGTATGTGTTGATATTATATATAGTGGGTTCCAAAGGTTTGAGACCACTTTCCCAGAATGGGAAGATAAACATGTTTTCATTAAAAAGAAAAACATATTTAAGCATACAGAATTTTCATATGTATGTTGTTTTAATAAACTTGCGCATATAAATGCATATCATTAACATATATGGTTGCAACATGTTATAACATAAAAATTCATCATATAGATATTGTTAATATACTGTATGTACATATACAAACTTTACTGGGTGTTTCATATATGTTATAAACTTATATCTTCATATATCCAGAGGATGTATATATATAATATAGGTGACATATATGACAACATCAGTCTTGACACTGGGACATATACTGTATGTCATATATTACGTTTCTGTATGGGCAGTATCTTTACAGTCTGGGCAGTACTCCTTCAGTGTTCCTGAGAGACATTACTTTCACTTTTTAGGATCCCATTATGACATCAGTAGTCTGTCTTGAGGGTTATTTGTTTCATCATCATCCTTTTGTACTGCACCAGTAAAATGATTAATTGGTTTGCACATGGGGCTGTACATCTTTTGCTCTGCTTCTGACACTGAATATCCTTGACATATAAAAAAGATAATCTGTGAGGCAGAAGTGGATTTCATATTTATTGGTCACCTCTTTGTGTTGCTTTTGTGAATCCCTTAATCTATTATTTCAGATACAAAGAAATAAATGTTGCTGTAAAAAAAAATTATCAGCATATAATTTGAAAAAAAGCATGAAATAGTAGAAATACTATAACTATTAAATTGTATTGATTTGACGACAGACTTGTTTTTTTTTGGCTGAGCTTAATAACTTTCACATAACATTAGAACGAAAGTTAGGGAATGTAAGTTGTCAACAACTGAACCCATGACAAAGATGTTTATCAAAAGTTGAATTTTACTTATACTTAGGACTGCAGTAGGTTGAGTGATGACTGGGGCTCCAGATTGAACTATTTCTAAGAGGTTTGGACATCTGAATGTTAAGTAAGTTACTGATTAAAGTATTGTACTTAATGAATCCTCTACTACCCTGTAATGATCTTTGTCTTACACGTGTTAACACTGTCCTTAAGTCCAACTTCTCAACAGTTCTGCAGTTAGATGGCTTTACCCATGATGAGCAGGCTCATGAAAAACACCATTATGAAAAATATCCACATGAAGAAGCGATCTAAAACTTTGGCTACCTTCTTCCACTCCCCAGTCCTTTTCTGCGTGGCCCTCTGATCTCTGTAACAGTTGGCTATGTACTCAATGTTGCGCAGCAGCTGCCTCTCATTGCTTTGGGAGCAGCAGGAAAACTCTCTGTCTTTTCTCTCTCCCTCACTCACACCTCCCTTCCTGCATCTCCTTGGACCCCCTGAATCTCCACAGTCCATGCTCATGAAAATGCCATTTTTCCAAGTGCTGTAGTGGTTGGTAGGATTCATCCCAATTGAGCCTATTGGACTCATCATCTGATCCATGTCTTCCCTCTCCTCTGAAGTCACTGTCTCTTGTCCTCTCTCCATTTTGAAGACACAGTCCTCTCTGCCTGGTCCTGCCTGACCGTTCATGGTGCAGTTGGTGTTCTTTACAAGTGGAGGCTCCTGTTTCTCCGGTTGTGGCGACATGCAGTTTTCCCCAACTTCATAAACGAAGCACATTCTGGCCATGTACTGCAGAATGACTTTCTTGGCCCACTTGGGAACAGGCTTAGCATCCGGGCCACAGTGGTGTATGTTCATGATGAATATGGTAAGGGCAGTGGAGGCTGTGATCATGGTCATGGTTGCAATGTAATACTTTCCTGTGGAAGAAAATAAGATAAGGAAATCAACATAGAGTTGGAACTTACAGTTATCACACATGTTGGGTTTTGACCCCAGTATATTTCCCTTACCAATAAGAGGTACGTTCTCAGAGGGTGGCATGATCTCTGCAACCAACAACTGAAAGACAGTGAGGGCCAACATTACAGTGACTCCCAGAGACACCTTCTCTCCAGAGTCAGCAGGCAGGTAGAAGCCCAGTGGAGCCAGAAAAGAAATCATCACACATGGTATGAGCAAGTTGAAGACATAAAAGGAAGCTCTTCTCTTCAGTTTCAGTGTGTAAGTCACATCTGGGTAAGGATCGGCACAGCAGCCATACAAAATAATGTTCCTCTTAGCCGGCATACCCAACACTTCCCATTCGACATTTTCCACCAGGTCAGCCAGGTCAGCACTCTCCATGGCATTTTGGATATCCAGCTGATTACCGTTGTAGGTCCAGGAGCCATAGGTGAACCTACATTGCTGAGCATCGAAGGGGAAGAAAGACACGTCCACTTTGCAAGAACTCTTGGTGATAGCTGGGGAATCCCACATTATCTGGCCATCGTGTCGGATCACCACATTGGTGTCCATGGGGCCAGTGAAATGATCATCTGCACTGAAAGACAAAGAAAACATGTCTGGAAAAAGAAATTAGAGTAGCTGTGTTGACATTCACACCAAGAGCAAATAGATGTTTTGGATACCTTTTTAAAAAATGTTATAAGAGAAGCTGCAATTTCCTGGAGTACGTGGAGAATGATATTTGAGAGAAACTTGATCAGGATACTAAGGCACAAGTAAACCAAATGAGGGAAGAGTCAACACATTTTGGAGAGTTGTACTCATTCCTCAGTGTTGTGTCTGCATTTTAAATCTTTTCAGCAATGCTAAATGTTTGTATAAGCATGTGTTTAGCATACATGCTACCTGATGTTTTTAGGTTATCATAATCAATATAATGTCATCAGAGGCATCACTAGGATTTCTTTCCTCCACATCAAGGCATGTTCCATGGCCCCACACCTACTCAAGCAGCACTCCTCTCCCTTCCTCTTTGTCATAAATAAATGATTTTGAAAATTATTGTTTTCATTGTCAGCTGGACTACTGCAGTAGTTACATTAATGGTGTATAAAAAGCAGACATAGGCCTGGACACTCCCATGAATAATGACTTCAAGGACTGTTCAGCTTGTGCCATGTATACTGACCAATAAGAGCCACAGTAGGATAATAATTGCATGATTAACTCAATACCAGTCCGACCTACTTGTTATATAGGACTATATCAGGTCTCCATACATAACTACTAGGTATGCGGATGGTATCAAGTCCATCGTAATCATCTTTATTCCATTTGAGGTGTGCATCAACCCACACTTGCCGTATCCATAAATATGCAGTCAAAATTTGGTTTCGCTCATCCTGTAAAAGATTGAAATTTATACATAATAAATGACAGATACATATGAGAAGTAAACACAAATATCATGACACAATAAAATAGCATTACTGATGTAATGCTATTGTGTGGGTATCAGCACTAGGACTGCAACTAATGCAGCCATCTAAGCTATAAAGCTGACAATAATTTTTTCGATTAATGATTCATTGTTTAGTCCATGAAATATCAAAAATTGTGGGAAAATACCAATCACAACCTCCCCAGACCCCAAGGTGATGGCTTTTAATGTGTTGTTTTGTTCAACCAAAAGACAGAAGCTCAAAGATATTCAGTTTACAGTGATATAAAACAGAAAAAAACATCAAAGTATTTTGTTTGGGAGGTGGAGGGAATGTGAACAAAATGCATTTTTTCACAATTCTTGCTTAAAATGTTACTGAAACAATGAATCAGTTATCAAAGTGGCAGATTCTGTGGATTGACAAGTCAATTAATTATAATTAATAATCAGTTGTTTCAGGTCCTGTCTGGATAATTCATATTCAGACATAAAGCATTGTGTAAACTGTGGTGTTTTACCATGTCGATAATTTGTGACAGTGTAACCTGCAGGGTCACATTCAGGATGGTGTTTGTGTCCTCCACAGGCCTCAGCGCACTAGTATAGTTGGTGAATAAATCATTCAGGAGCTTATGAGCATATTTCCCATGAGCACACCAACAAGCTAAGACAGGGAAAGAAACAGTTTACAGCCATGTCACCATGTATTTCAGTCATTTACACAACATTAAATTTTAGTTCCATTTATTATGGTTTTTTTTTAGTCTGGCAAAATGAAGTATTTTAAAGGGCATTCCTGTGTGATCGTTTTTGATGAATCAGTTTTCTGGCCAGTGGCATTCATAGCAAATTCAGTGGAGAGGAGGCAGAGATGGGAAGAAAGAGAGAACATGAGAGGAAATGTAGCTGCATGACAGATGGCAGAAGGGGACAAAGGGGATGTTAGGTTAGATTGCCCTTCTCTAAAGCTCTAGAAAGAGATCAGGCAAATCTGACCTTATGTACCAGCAGCAACTTGCTCTGTTCACCCTGTGTATGTGGAGTGTAGCATGTGTTGATTGAACACTTAATCCACTGGACACACAACATGTGAGAATCAAAATGAGCCTAAACAGGGAGATTCAACATTCACATCCTGTGAAAAGAATGGAGTTAGAAATGATTCATCAAAAGGACATAAGAAATACCATATTTAAACATAGTTTTTCATGTTTTTATAAGGGAATTATTCGTGGAAGTTCTACATCCATAACTTCAAAATAACAAGACACTTGAGAGACGATGTGTGAACTGTTTTAAAAATAGAAACAATATCTTCTAACTGGGGCTTGTTTCCAATGTCCGCATTGGATTTGGGCTAGCCAGATGTTAACCCTGAGCTGGATACAAAGAAGGTCTATGGGATTATGATGATAGCAAAATCCCTGAACAACTGGCTGCAAGTTTGCAAATTCCGGGTAACAGCTTTCATGGAAGAGGAAGGAAAATCTGAGAAGAAATGTTGGATGATCCATAAAATGTTAAAACAGTGATGTTAATAAAAAATGAATTACAAAGATTTTATGTAAACTTTCTTTAGCCTACATCTTGTGTCATCCTCGTCGTCTTTTCTGGTACATAATTTTGATTAACTATAGGCAAGAAAAAATACCCAAAACGAGGTCAACATTTTAACTTAGAATAACATGGATGGAAACTTACGTGGCAAAATACTGACACACAGAAGCAACCGAAATAAAGTTTGGATTCTCCGTCGTTTCATTCTGGTGAAACAAGTTATCTCGACCCAAAGACCATTTGAGCTGTTCTGTACCAGACAAGTTTACAAATTAAAAATCAAAAACAGAAAAATACAAACGAGAGAGAAAATGGAGAGAAAAAGAAAGAAAAAGCAGACCGGTGGTGAATTCAGCAGTAATCAGTCGTGCGTTTTAGATCTAGACCTGCACAAATGCACAGATGAATCTGGAAAAGAAAAGGAGAGGCGGGGCAGCGGATTTACAGAATGAACAAGACCTAATGCAACTACATGTAAACCCCAAACACACATTGGACTCACATACAGCTGTTACACACAGGATCTGTTTATGGAAAGAAAAAAACGAAAATGAAAATAGACCCTTTGTTTACTCTGGTTCAGCACCACGGAGAGCTCCCAGCTCCGTCCTCTAAAAACAGTCAGGCAGTAAACCCAGCAGTTTGCGCTTTTAGTTTTTACATAGAGAAACACATTTTATTTTGCATGTGGTCTGAGCATCATTTTTACATACAAACGTGGCAACCTCCTCACTCTCCTCCGCTCACTTTCTCTTCCGGGTGCTGCTTCTTCCACACCTTCTGTATTTCCTTCCTGTTTTCTGTCTCACAACGAGGATGTTGCATCCGCAGGCCTGTAAACATCTGCTGGGAGAATCTGACTAAAATCTAACGGATGCAAAAATGTCGCAGGAATTTAAGATAGCTGGGTGATCTCCAGCTTAAAGGAACCCTCCCTATTTATGGTACATGGAATATTCAGGTCCATACTGCAGCCTGAATGTGATCGTAACAGCGTAGTTACTGACGAGCCAGCTGCGTGTAGTTGCGGCAGCAGTTATTTTTAAACAATAAACAGATTGCAGGTAGGTTGAGTTCGTTTTTCAGACTTCAGTATAACTGTTCAGATGTTCAGTAAATTCATGCGTTTGTATCAAAATGTTCCAAACTAATGTATGGTTAATATTACAGTCTAACTGTACATGACATGTTCATTAATTTCCAAATGTACCTCATGAGTAGCCTATTGATTCCTGCTTTGCACAGAGCTATTATTGCCACATGTGTATGTGTGTACATCAAGATGGTGATGAAGATGTTTTAAAATCAAACATTTCATTGTTTCAGACCAAGATGCTACAAGGCTCTAACATCTTGGGGCATGAGAGGCCCCTGGTCATCAGGATATCATTCACAACCTGTGTTTTGACTACAGTGTGCCTACCACTGCTTGGACTAATAGCTTGTGTCCTTATATCCTCTGTTTTTCATTTTGAGGACTCTACTGGTACACATTGCCAGGTAATGTCCTTATTTTGCAAATGTAACCAACCATATTTTTCTTACCTTGGTGTTAACAAAACAAGACAGATCTGCTACATGTAGTTCCCTGTGCCCTATTGTGGTTTAATTTGAAGAAATATTTTCTCTCCTTCTGTTCTTGTCTCCTTTCAATACTTCTTGGTTTGAGATATGACTTTAATGCTGAACAATCATGTGAACCAAAACTGGATCATTTCTGTGTTTCCAGGTTCCTAACTATCTGCCATCCATCAGTGCCTCCATAAGCCTAAGTCCTGAGTGCCACATATGGCGGTTTTGCATTGGACTGCACTCAGCACCGAGGTTCCTTGTGGCTTTTACCTACTTCAAATTTTACAAGACACGATTTGCCTCGAAGTTCCCTGAGAGTCCACTCAGCTGCTTGAACCTGGCTTTTTCTATTTCTGAAAACCTCGGCCTCTTGCTCCTCACATATGTATCATCCAGTGAGACATACTGTGGGTAATCCATATTTTGAGATCATTTCAAACACAGTGCCTTTTATTGGAGAGATTTTAAGTCAAACATATCATGTACATGTATATATTGTTTGCTCCTTAGTTGTACATAAGGAAGGCTTTGTCCTGTTCATCATCAGCTCCCTCATCTACATGCTGATAACCTGCCGTTTGTGGAAGGCCATTAAGAAGTATTCACTGAGTCCTGAGGTGAGGTATTCACACACTGTAAATTAAAATCCCTCACCTGATTTGCAGTATTTCAGTCTAACTCAGTAATATTGTTTTACTGCTCTCATATAGGATGCCAAGTCTCATCACTGGAAAGTGCGTTTTTTACTTCTTAACATATCTTTCCTTGCTTTTGCTGGATTCTTTTATTGGAAACACAACATGTACTGTGAATCAGGGAGTAAGTATTAAATCAGTTTGTAAAGGTTGTTGAACAGTAAATATTGAGGAATGTTTGCAATAATGTCAACTGTAGCTACAAAATACTGACCTAAACATGGATATCTATTATATACCACTGTTTCTTCTTTTCACAGGTTATACATTATTTGCCGTGTTTGAGTATCTTGTCGTCTTCTCCAATATGGCCTTCCATCTCACGGCTGTGTGGGACTTTAAAAGCCGGGAGGTCATGGTCATTTCATCCTCGGAAGATAAAAACTTCTGACTAGAAACTCTAGGACCAAGTGCTAAATATACAACCTCTCAATCGCCTGTTGATAACAGCCTTGATCCTGCTCAAGTGGAAGAGTGGGATGAAGGCCTTTTCCATATATTTCCATGATGATGGCTCTCATGTCCTTAGGAGTTGTAGATGTAAGACAAGTACAAACAACAAGATAAGCACACATGCTTTTTTGGGCCTTTGTGTCTCATTCATGGATGCCTTCACCTACATACAGTATGTTATGTAATGTGTAATTTCAATTTTTGTATAATGCGCAACACACGTGGTCATACTGTATGTGTGCCAAAGTAAAGTGATAGTTCTTTCAAGTATGCTTGGCTTTAATTTTGACATACAAAGGGCAAAGAATGAGGAGTGACATAGTGGAAAGCAGGGCGTACTTCAAGCATTCCCAATTTTGAGTGTTAGATACTAGTGTCCACACACAGAAACAATGGCTTCTGACACAATGTATTTTTCAACATTCAGATTCCCCCAGCAACTACTACTCCAAATGTATTATTGAGACCTCTATTAAGACCTGACTTTGTCATTAGTCCTGCTTAGATTAAAATCTTTACTCGTTTCAGCAATATCTAAGCTTTATACAAAAATCTAATTTAATATTCAAATGTGAATTCTCTGTATTACATGTGGCCTTAAGGCCCTGTTGTTAATCTACAGCAGGTATTATGATCACACACTGCTTACCTAACTGTGACCCAAATGCTAATGCTACTGGATAAAAACCCCCGCATCCAGATACAAGTAGGTAATCCACGGATGCCAAAAAGCATGCCTGTGGAAGATGTTATAAAATCCAATTAAATTCAACTGAGTTCTAAGTCTGTTAGTAAATATGAAATGATATGATTACACACACACATATAGAGTGACTTACCAGTTTAATAGGTATGCCTGTAAAATCTCACACAGTTAACACAACATTTCCTCAGTGAAATCCTATGTTTGTGAAGCTTGTAATGCTGTTTTTGTTGATACTATGTCAGAGAAAGGAGAGTATGGTACTTGTACAAACACAAATCTTTGTATTGTGTCATTAATAGTTTCAATAACACTTCAAGCATGTGTATACAGCACCTTCGGATACATATATATATATATATAATATATAATATATATATATATATGTATATATATATTTATGTTATTTTAAACACCACTGTGCAGTATCCCTATCCTTATAAGATGGTAAAGTAAGACTACTCGTAATATGACATTCAGATATGAGTGTGTGCTATACACCATAACAGTACTGCAATGCTCTGAAGCCCCTTTTCACCCTCTCTCTTCAACTCCAATCCTGGTGATGATGCAAGTTCTGGCTAAGCACTAGCAATAACGCTCATTTTGAAACCAAGAAAAAATCATACTCATCTACAACAAAAGAAAAGAAACAATACAGAAAACGATATTTTTACTTCCAACTGTTCCACCCACGAGTGTGCATTAAGTTAATGAGTAAAAACATCCCCTGAAATCTAGAGAGCACAGACAAATATAAAAGGAGACCTGAATTTATGACAGATACAGTTGGTCATCACAGTTGCATTGTTAATACAGATCATCATTCAGTATTAATAAATTCACATATGAAATACATTAAAGAAAGCAAAAACTTCATTATTAGTTTTAATTGCAATTTGGTCTGAAAACCTCAGGGCAGAGCTGCTGTATGTGAGGACAGTCCGACAAACAATGAACAAAGAACCCAACTGAAATATGATGTTTATTACACATTCTGAATATTAATAATAATAATATAATTTTTGGATGTAACTTGCTCATTATATTTATTTATATGCATAGTTTCAGGAGCTTTAAAGATTTGGAGCCAGCATAATATTTTGAACTTCTTTTTTTCAAGCAGATTTGCATGCTATAGAAAGAGTGGGCTCGTCATTTATATCTCTGCAGTCCGCAAGATCAGTTGTAGATCCTAAACCAGCTTCCCACATCCTTTTAGTTTCATTTGTATTATCCACCTTGGAATTGAATAACTCATTATAAAAATATTTAACTATCTGTCTATAAAGCTCTGACTCTGTAAAAACTTAAAAGGTGTACTATGACAGGTACATACTGTAGAACTGAGCTTGAAAAATTGCTTCATTTTCCTTTAAATTTTACCTGCAGGCGTTTTGGTGTGATGGCTTATATTCTCCACTAGATGGCCCACTTCAGCAGTTTGTTTAAATATGATGTTCGGTTTACACTCCAGACGGTAGGGGGCGAGACTTGCTTATGGTAACCAGGGGCTCGATGCTGCAGAAGAAGACAAGCTAGCGTCTGTCCACATTCTGCGGCTTTTTCGGTTCAGTCTCTCGGTCGCGGGGAAAGAGACCGACACATTTTTTTTTCTTTTAACAGGAGGTGGAGTTCGCTGTGCTTCAACTCCGGGGAACCAGGCATCTGCTGCAATGTTAACACAGAGCTGAAACTACACATCTGCTGCCTCTGATACATGACAGGTTAACTTTATTTTCTTGTTATTCATCATTATATTAATGATATTGCCATCTAGCCTAGCTAAAACTACAATTGCTCTTTTATTAACGTTCCTTGTCTGAGTTGCGTTTAGCTAAACCTCAACTGTGGCTAACGTGCGTCTGTAGAAAATTCAAGTCGACACCGACAAAAACTAACTGAAAAAACACGAAGGGGTTAATGTGAATGCTTTCTTAGAAGAGCTTTTTAATGTTACTCCCCCTTTGTTTGGATATTTTACTTCATTTCCTAGTTAGCCGAGGTGGTTAGCTAGCTAGCCAGGGCTTGTCAGACATCCAACCACAAGCAGACGCAGATAAACAGGCTGATGTTACTTTTCATAATCTTGTTATGTTTCTCCCTGAGGTGACATGTGTTTGCCACCTGGAACCCCAAAGCACAGCACAGCTTAATTGATAAAGTCAGGTTTAAAGGATTCCTAAGCTAAAGCCAGGTATTAGCAAGCTAACGACTGGACATTGATTCATTCAGGAAGAAGAAGCACCCTTGAGAAGTAATAGCATGTGTCTGCGGTTGCTGCAGGGGATCTTTATGTAACTAACCGTATTTCTTGATGTGCCCTTCTCCTTGCTAAGATGTCTAATGTTAAGAGAAAAAGCAGCTACATTTTGTTTAATAATGAGCGATGTTTAATGGATTAACCAAGATAGAAACACTAAATTTGTTATTGTAAAATTATCAAAATTTCAAGGTTCTCTGCTCTCCTCTTTCCAGCATACACCAGTCATGGAGTTCAACAAATTTGTGACCTTGTGGATATTTTGCTTATGCCTCGTTGGAGAAAGTTGGACCGACAAAACAAGTTCACCCACATCAGATAGTCAGATTGTTGAAAACGAGGTGTCAGGTGAGTACATCGGCCATGGCGTCAATTTTTTGCAACATTTTTTTTTTAAGTTTATTTTTGTCCACCTGTCAAACTGACACGCTATAGATTTGCAGAGTAGAGTATTACTGTTGGTGCCACATCTTTGTGATTGTGCAGGCACTAAATGTAGCCATGCTGAGAATAGTCGGGCTGGCATTCAACATTAAGCCCTGTCCTCCAACTTAGATCAAGCCACCTACTCCATCAGAAGAAAATTGATCTAATGGTTAGTGGAGCACATGAGCAGGGTTGAAGTAGTTTCTGAATCTGAGTAATAGTTAAAATATTAAACAATTTTCAATAAATCCAATAAAAATTGGGATTAGTGCATTGGTAGTATTTTTTTTTTGGCTGATTATTTGGCTGTACGACACATAACATAAATTGTTATTCTTCATTACATTATAGTTGTGTAAATTTAAAAAAAGATGGCCTAAATCATTTAATTAAGATGCACAGTTCTATTGAGGATGAAATAATAAGGTAATATAGACACTAACATCTTGGATTTGCGCTTATCATATGTGTCACCAAAATTCATAACGACATGACTTAATGTAACCATGTTAAACCTAGTGTAGGTCTCTCATAACAGCATAACCTCTCCACTGCTGCACTACATTACACAGCTAAGTTTTTTTAAAATTAAGGTTTCATTTAAGGCACAAACATGTTCAGTAAGTTTAACAAGATCCTAGTGTACAAATATTTCACTGTGATAATCTCTTGCCTCAATCCATGAAGTGATTTAAGATGAATGATGAATGTAATATCTGTCAAGCATGTCTTAAGCTTTAAACTGTGTGTAAACCATATAACTTGAATCTATCTGGGGAAACAGAGAGAGAGTTATGACATACTATGACTAAGATTTACATTTTGAAAAATTTAACTTCACGTTAATCACTATACTGTTAGCAACAACTGGGCAAAGACCCAGTACTGTGAACTTTCTCATTGTGATCTATTGTTGGTACTGCTGACCAGTGTGGTTAAACAGGAACTCCTGAGACATTGTCCAAGTTGCTCATACAGATTTTGCACTTGAAGCAATTTTACTAAAGCATGATGCAATAGTCCCAGGAAGCCACCGCGCGGTGAAGAATTTAATAGTGACAATGATTTACAAAGCTTCACTGGAATTTTGAATGGCAGTAGGACTCCTAGTAACTCCTGCAGTTATGAAGTGGCAATGTTGAGGAGTGTGTTCATCTTCTACATCCATGCACACAGAATGACTTACGTAACTTTCGCTCTTAAATAAGGCAGGTTGACTGGTATGTAAATATCTTATCTTGTGTCTCCGGAGGTTTGCAAGCCAAATGAGAAAGAGGGCCAGGCTGAGTGTATGAGAGTGTTGCAGTTGGTAGGCTTTCACAAGGGTAACTGTCATTCTTTGTTTAACATGGTGAATGTGAACGATTGAGTGTGTGACAGACTAATTACCTTTTTGGTATGTGGCATTGCAGGTTCTCTGAAGCTGGAGTGCTTGCGTAGTATTGCTGAAAAATTAACTTTTTACTATGCGGAAGTTCAGGTTGTGCATTCTTCCTAGTTCTGGTTTAGTGGTTTTGTGTAGAGGAATACAAGTTACAAAACCATTCATTGAGCCACAGGACACAGTAACCGTTGCAGAGATTAATTTGAGACATGTTTTACTTTCTGCTTTATCTCTCTAATGACTAAGCCAACCTGTCATAACATGGGAATAAAAAAAAGCATGGATTGAAATGACAAGTTGATCAGTGGGAGGGGGAATTACGCTGTAAATGCTAGCACAATACAAACCATACGCTTGAAACTGATTATACTCTATTGTGTGGGTGACTGTAATTAATGGAGAAGCAGTATCAGTTGAGATATATGGACCTGAGCTCGGCCATTTATGAAAGGGAAAGAGAGTTTGATTTTGCCTACTTCTGCACTGTATTGTTGTGAGTATGATGCAGGCAACATGAAAAGCAAGGTGTGCTGTGTTTAACCACAAAGTATTCATCTATTAGCAAACCAGGATAAAGTAGAAACAAGCATTTTATACAGTAAAACCTTGGTGTTGTGATCAAAAAAGTTCTCATTGTTAGTAAAAACCAAGCTTACATCCGGTTAGGAAGTGCACAGTAACCTCTCATGTTGCAGAGCAAAGCCAGCCTCCACCTTAACTGTTGCCTTCACCTTCTCCTTTTGTGGGTATAATGCAATGAAATACATAATAAAGCATACTGTGTTTGACATATACCTCTTATATAACTTTATGTAACCAGGAAAAGGTCGCTATAGTAGCAGCACGTGGAACACAGATGTTGTATAAGACAGACTTAAAATTAATTGAATAAAATATGTGCTTCTGAAGGATTCAGGGACACTATTCTTATGAATTCAGCTCAGCCACACTGCTTGAATTAAACAGTTAAACCTACTGTCATAAGAGGTAGCCTACCATGCCCTTTCACACAGCTCATGCCAGTTTCTGCAATACATGCCAAACAAGGTTTCCTCTTAGTGGGAGTGGTGACATTATCTCTGATCTATGGCTGAGGATTTGTAATCTCTCAGGAAGGAGAGGGAACACAGAGCAGACAGGGTGCACTAGATAACATACAGGCTGCTTAATTACATCATTATTTATTGTAGAAACATAAACATCTGATTTATCTGCAATTAATTGGAGTCATACACGCTGGTATTCTTACATGTTACTGTGTCCTGACTGTAAAAATACTGAATATAGATAAATGCAAACAATATTTATAATAACAAAGTCAGGTTTTCTGACATTAAACAAAACGGTGAAATCCAAATTGACGATAGATTAAAAAAAATTTAGGACCATGATTATTAAAAAACAATTCACCTTGGAACATGGCCTGTTTTTGTCTACACAGTAGGTCTGGCAGTCATGGTATCTGGCTTCTTGGTACCATCCCCACATTGAGTGAAAGGCCCCATATAAACAATGCTTTGTTTGCAGCCAAGGAATTTTCAGTTCAGCTATCTTAGCAACATAGAGGCAGAGTGAGGGAAATCCAACAGGCAACTTTGCATCCTGACTTCTGCATATCAATTGTAGCATTGAGGTGACATGAGTGCTTGAATAACTTGATCACATCAGTGCTTGTGTGTGTGTGTGTGTGTGTGTGTGTGTGTGTGTGTGTGTGTGTGTGTGTGTGTGTGAATTGCATGTTTGATGTTGAAATTCAAAAATAGAAACTATAAACTTCCTGTACCATGACTCAGATTCCCTTCAAACATCATATTAACAGTATTTTTTTTAAGACGTGCAAGTTTGGTTTGAGGGAATGCGATACAGAAATAAACTCCAGAAAGTGTTTTCAGGGTGACTGAAATTAAACCAAAATTATATATAAAGGAATTTTGAGTAGTTATGAATAATTGCATATTCTCAGCCTGGTATACTTTTTAAATTCAATGTTGGAAAAAAAATAGAAGCTGTTGCTGAAGTGGTAAGAGTATTTTGTGATTAGACATTTTTGCAGCAGAGCATTATTTGATTTAACTGTTTCCCAAATTGGAAGGCAAACATATAAACTTTTATCACACACCAATTAATGTGAATAGTTCTGATAATTCTGTGTTGACCCATGAGTTTCAAATTTGCCTTAACACCTTCTTGGTATGACTGTTTCTCCACCAGATTTTTGTCGCATCGATGAGCCACTGTGCAATGATGAGAATGCCCGTCTCAGCTTCGAGGCTATCGGTAGTATCCACAATCAGATGGATGATGACGCAAATGGCAATGTAGACGTGGTAGAGACAGACGGCGTAAGTACCAGCCTAAAAAATCAGCAACAACAACTGATGCTCTATTGAAAGAGATATTTTGAATCATACAATTACAGATGTGGTTTTCATTCAGTCTGAAGAGGTAGTAGTATCATTATTGTAATCCTCTGTCATCTGACTTGTCATAGGATTTTCTGCTAAGATGGTCAGTTAATCATAGCCCTGTAGTGTCTCAACTTTACTCAGACTATGGGGTTTGTATTTTTTAAATGTGTGAAAATTGTGTTTGCTGCTTCTCCTTTCAATGCAGTGAAGTATAATGAAAGCCCAGTATAACCCGTTACCGCTTATGTTTATTGTTCATTGCTGTTGTATAATGTGTAACAGACGTGTGGTCTGTTGCTTCTCAGACATCACTAGTGCCCGAAAGACACTGCCTGTAGTTCATTGAGTTTACATCCAGAGCTCTAGTCCAAACTACAGGTTGTGGCCTTGAGGAGGCCTTCTCTGGAGGCTCATTTCAATTTGGTTCAGTCTGAGGCATGTGGTTCACGCCAGACCAAAGCAAGCAACGTCATCACTGCAGCCGTCTCTGCTTTTAGAAGAGGCACTTGGCATGCAAATACCCCTAAGGCAAAGAATCAAGTGCAGCACAGTGAGCACATATATCTGTAGTGGCTTTGAGTCGAGAAATAGAGAACTCAAAACGATTAAGAGCACTTCAAGACGTTAGCCCTGCTTTCTGTTATCATACAGTGATTAAATAAAGACGATGGTTGATTTCTTTATAACCAAGATCAAAGTCTCCATCTGGCTTTTAAGAATAATCTTTGGGCCTTGACAACATTATACAGGTCCTGCTAATTTTTCCAGTGAATATATTTTCAGGAGTGTGATATTTCACCTGCAGTACAGACCATCTCTCTACCCTGTAGTGAAATCCTCCCACACACATCTATCAAGAAAGAAAAGCATCATGACTTATTACTGTCTTCCACCCATGTTGCATGAGATGACTTTTGTGGGTGTGAAAGATGTTGTGTAGGGTTTGTGTTTAAAAACACAGTGACTGAGTTAGCCTACGATGTAGTGGGCAATGAGTGGTGTGGCTCCTTTGGCAAGTAGTTGATTACTACCACTTCGATGGGGGCGAGAATGGAATCCAGAGGGCCATAAATTTTTGTACGCTGTTCCATTTACTATGCGTCATGGTGTCTTGTGTACAATATGCAGACTTCTCATTTTCAAATGGAGATACCAAATGTCATCCAGAGACTTTTATATTGTTTTGATAACCCTTAACAATTAAGAAAATTGTAATATTTTAATCGTGTAAATTTCATAAAATTGGTCATTCAACCAGACTGCCATCAAAGATTTAATTAAGGTGATGCTTGATGGCTGTGTTTTTGCAATAGTGTATCAGAATACTCTTATGAAAAACTTCTACAGTGCTCAGGATCACAAAACCTATCCCATTTGAGTTTTTTCAGCTCTGTTGGTTTTTAATAACGTCACAGTCTGGCCTCCAGTTAATGGTGATCAGCACACGTGTTGTACTGTAGAATAACTATTAACACGAACTTCCGTGCTGTTTCAGACCATTAAATAGTGAATGGAAAATGTTAGTAATTTTCAGGTCATGTTTGGTTGAGATATTTATAGTGTTTTATGTTCCTTTCACAGTAACTCAAGCAAATACACACATAAGCCACAAGAATTGTAATTTCTTCCTTTTATGGAGGTTGTAAAGCCCACAGTGATGAAACAGGTCATAGTGCTCACAATAAATTCAAACTTGTCAACAGAAAATTTCCAACACTATTTGTAAATGTGGTCTTTGTCCTTCACCTGTTCATACATTTTATTTAGCCAATCCCCACTGAGTCAGGATGTCTGTGTTGTTTAACATGTCAGCAGTTGCTATGATATGACAATGTTTAATCCTTAAATTTGAAGAAAGAAATACAAAAACATTTCACCGATACATTCACATTCTGCATTGCAACATTGGTCAGACCAAGCTAACAAGATTTCTGTATGCTGAGATTGTCAGTAAGAGAAGTACAAATGCAGTTTTCTAAGAAATTATTATTTAATAAACCCTGTAAATATTATTGCAACTTTTGTCAGTTAACACTTGTAAATAGATTTTTTAACCACTACAAACGTCCTTGTCATCCTGCAGTTCCTCAGAGAAGATCTAAACTACCATGACCCCAAGGCCAAACATAACAGCTTCCATGGGGATGACCAGTTCATCAGTGTGGAGGACTTGTGGAATGCATGGAAGAGCTCTGAAGGTACTGCTTTTAAGCCTTGTTTTTTTTTTTCCCTGAAGGCCAGCAGTGACTACACAGACAAACAGGCCTTTCTTTCAGAGCTTCTCTATAGAATTATAGACCGTGAAACTTGTTTTGCGCACTATATTCTGAATTGATACGCTCTCTCAAGACTGTTTGAAACTGGACAGATGATTGTTTTTTTTGTAATTTTTATGAAAGACTCCTTGGAACTATGATTGCCAGCTCCAAAGAACTGCACTATTTCAGATAGCCAGTAAATCAGAGTTACGTATTTCCCTGTGACTGACATTGTGAGTCAGACATTAACCCTACTTGACTTTCTCACTCGCCCAACAAAGGAGCAAGGCAGTTGATCAGATGCCATGTCAAATAAAGTGCCATCTACTTATCAGTATCAGCCAGTGGCAGAGCAGACATGATTGAACCTGTCAGCACAATATTTGCATACAAACTCTCACCTCCTTCTGCCTATCTGTTTGGCTGGGCTATCATGTATGCCTTGAGAGCTGTGCTGTATCTAGCACTCATGTTTTTTCACACTCTTTGCTCTGGTTGCCTTTCTCCCCCCTTTATTTTTTCTTGCTCGTAGTACTGACTTACTCTGCATTGCAGTTTCTTGACAAGGCTCTAGAGGGTTTGAGCCAGGAAACTGGATTTTTGTTCAAGAGAGCAACACATTAACACAGACAACCCACACTGTTGACTCTCTGCCAGTAGCTGGGGAGTGGATTTTCCTTCCCCAGTTAATACTATGGGCAAGCCAATGTTTGCTAATCCATAGGATACCTCATAGGTCATTCAGGATACAGGATACATGGTCATTTAGTATGTCTGATGATATGGCAGGCATAAACTCAGTGTGCTTCAAAATAAAAGCAGGGATACATCATATATGACAAAATATAAAATATCATATAAGATAAGAAAATATTACATACAAAAAAACATACAGAATAGGAACGTTTATAATTTATTAATTTATTATTATTATCATTATTCTAAAAGGGAGATAATAACAATAATTACACTGACTCACACCACACACTTAAACCTAACTAAAAGTTTGCGAAAACAGATATGTTTTTAATTTACTTTTAAAAGAAGACACTGTTGTAGCAGACCATAGTTCATATGGTAAAGAATTCCAGATAGTAGGACCATAATGACTGAAAGCCCCATGAGCTGATTTAGAGTTGATTCTTGGTACAGTGAGGAGAGCTTTATATGATGATCTAAGGGATCTCTTTGATATGTATTTAGTGAGCATGTCACAAACATAGGAAGGAGCTGAGCCGTTTAAACATTTAAAAACAATGAGAACTATTTTAAAATCAATTCTTTGTTTTACTGGGAGCCAGTGAAGAGATGATAAAAGAGATGATAGTGATACATTGTTGCTGATTTGGCTCATTGAGTTGCTATGAAGTTAGGGCTTACTCTGCTCTAATTCAAAAGTGTTTGCATCCATTTCAGATTAACAGCATAGTTAGAAAGGTGACATTAGAGGGACAGACGGTATTTTGACAAGATGACATACTCTTTCCTACAGTCATCTTATTTAATATTTGGTTGCAAAGTTTTTGTTATCACTTACTGCCTGATGTCTATGACACAGCCATGCCCAGTATTTTCCCTGGTGATGTCTATTTGGCCTGTACTTCAGCCATCCTCAGTTCCTTCTGGTTTCAAGGAATTTTTGCCTTCAGTCAGTTTTTGAAACACATGATCAGCTGGTCTGAGGTCATCTGACCGACTGCTTGGCCCCAAGACAAAACGTCTTGACTGTATTTTGTAATTGCTAAGGATAACTGTTGTCCTAAAAAAGTTACAGGTCTACAAGAACGATGTTCACTGAAAATAAACATGAACACCTTCAAACCATTAAAGATTTAAGTCAGCTTTTGAGCCCCACATTCATTATTTCATTTCAAAGCTAATTTGTGGGAAGAGAGCAAAACAATGAAAAACCTATTGATAATTCTTTCTCACTGCACTGTATGTGACATACTGGAACCATATAACCTTATCAGTATTGAATCCTACAAGGATTAGATGAATGGGAATCAATGAGCACTGTGACTGTATATTTTGTTTTTCCTTTTTCCCCTCAGTGTATAATTGGACAGTGGATGAGGTGGTGGAGTGGCTCATCACCTATGTGGAGCTGCCACAATATGTGGACGCATTTCGCAAGATGAATTTTAATGGAAGTGCCATGCCAAGGTTAGTGATATCATGATCTGTGTCAACTTTTTTTAACTGTCCTAGATTTATGAAAAACGTGCATCTTCAGCTTGACAACAGTTTTACTTTAGATGGAACTGGTAAGACTTACAAATAAAAATTGAATACTTCAATGACAGTGATAAGAGTTGAGCCTCAAAGTTTACTCATTACAACAATGATGTGCAATGTGGGAATGGTGCTAACACAAATAATTGACTTAATGCAGCTTTTTAGTTCTAGCAATTAAAAACCATTTAGATTGCCCTCTTTAGTCGTCATGACATCCCCTTCTCTGATCAGTCAGTGTCAGTTTTATTAGATTGGTTGTAGTTTCTGTCTTTTTTGTTTGGCTTCAATTAAAATAATCCAGTGTGTACATTTGTCAAAATAGTAGAATTTGTTCACTATCTACTACTATTAATGTATCTAATAATGTTTTTATGTCTGATTAGTTGGTTTTTTGAAAATTATTTTAAGTGGTTACATTACACATGGCTCAAAATGCATTACATGCTTTGCTTCCCTTTGCTTCCCTGTTCTTATAAAAGGACTGTCTGTTTTCTCTCAGGCTTGCTGTGAAGAACACCACTCTGACACTCTCTATTCTGAAGATTTTGGATCGCAGCCATGTGCAAAAGTTGCAGCTCAAATCTTTGGACACTGTGCTGTTTGGAGCACCCCTGAGTAAGTGACGTTATTCTTTTTTTTAATTCCTATTGAATTCAAATGAATACACTCATTCATACAAGATCAGTGATTTGTTCCCGATACTTCAAATCCCTGAGCACAGATAAGAAAACTGGTACAGTTTCATTACCACTATTTTTTATTATGGTACAGATCTAAATGCAGAGGATAGATTTTTAAAACAAAACAAATTTTGAGGATTTTGCTGCCTGGGCAGAGTTATGTGCGTCCAAATTGCTTTGTAGTTGTTGTTTCAAATAAAAATCATTGCTTACTCTGTAAATATGTTGGAAGTTCAAGGCTTGCTGAAATGTCTTCACCGTAGCGGTTATCAGAGTGGCATAAAACATCTTCCAAATGACTAACTCAACACCTCACCTTTACTCTCTTGAAATTACTGCAGAAAGTTTGTGTTCAAATAAACAGCCTACCAACATTGCCAATATCCTGACCACTGTTGTCTTCTGCTCTCATTTTTTTATCAGCTCATGGTCCATGTGATATGTTGTGGTTAGGTTTTGTTAGCTTTATTCATTTATTTATTTATTTATTTCACTCACTCGTTTACTCACTGACTTGCTTGTTTATTGAATTTAGTCTGCCTTTTTATACGTAGGGAAGATCCTGTTATCACCTGTATTAGTTTCAAGGATTGTGGAAGTGAACTGAGGGTTAGATCACACTGCTCTGTATTCCAGACCCGCCCCTCTGCGTGCTGAGACAAATAAACACACCACTCATCCTCTGACTCTCATTCTCTGGTATCAATGCTCCTATTCTGTAGCTACAGATTGTTGTCTTTCAGGTTTTTCTTTTTGTTTTTGTTTTGTAACATCACAATGAATGGGATGTGTCTCAGCCATCTTCCCTCTTGGCAGTACTTTGTATTTTTTCATACATTCTTGGTTGACTTTGGGAAGTCATGTTCCCAGAATGAAAAATTCCATTTTCTTTTTTCATGCAAAGCATGTTTGTTGTTAAAAGCTGAGTGATAATGTGACAGCTGTATGGTATCTTGCAACACTCAGCTTAGAAAGTGAGAATTCTGGAATCGGTTTTGGATATAATGTTATGCTACAGAACAGTGATCAGCAACGCGAAAGCTTCCCATCCAGTTCGCAGATTATTAATGAATCCAGAAAATGTGAGGAGGACAAAAAATAAATTAAGCTATATTCAATATATATATATATTTGGAGACAGCATTTTTTTCTTTCTAACAGCGTTTCCCATACATTGATTTGTTTGTGGGGGGCCTGCCACAATATCACAACTGACCACCACCATGTTCTTTTTTTTTTTTTTTTCTTGCTATTTCAAATGGGTAAAATCTTATTGCATTGATTTGGTCACACCGTCCTTGCCTTTCTCTCTCTCTCTCTCTCATATTGAGATACACAGACATTGACGATGGGTCTGTCTGTGAACACCCCCTCCTCTCCATGCACATATAGAATCAAAATATGATCATGTACAGGAGGAAGGATTGTTGTTGGCTTTTCCCCACAGAGAAGACAGCTAGCATATCTGCTAGTCAATATTGACTGCTCGTGACTGGAGTTAAACGTTTTGCTCCCTCAGTCTACATGAATATTGAAAAATATTTCATCCTGTCAAAAGATAGTCTGGAGTACAGGTATTAGCAAAACTGAGACGTAGAAACTGAAAATTCCAACCAATGTGATAAGCTATCAAATTCATTTGTTTCAAATATTTCCAGGTTTAAGCCAGTGCTGCTGTGGCAGCTAAATCAGCAAAAGGCGGTTAGGGGGTTAGGGATAGCTGTAGCTAGTAAAGAGAGGAGAGAGGAGAACCAGCTCGGGTGAAAGCAGCAGGTCAGATTGACAGCAAACACAGTGATAGAGCTGTATATGTTGATTATTTATTTATTAATCACAAAGGACTTGGCAATTTTTAATATTTGCAGTACAGCACCTTATACACGGATCAGCCACAACATTAAAACGAGTTACTTGTTTTAATGTTGTGGCTGATCAGTGTATATAGTGTTATTTAATAATGAATTTAACAAACCATCACTCTTCAGTGAACTTCCTCCTTAGCTGAGGTCTGAAATCATTTTCTTTTTAGGCAAAATACTGTATATAGCTATCATTATGGATTTCCCATGTTTTATTAGGAGTATGTTCACACTGATATTTTTTGAAAGTCCAGCCCCCACAGTGTCTTCTTAGAAAAATAATGGCCCTTAGACAAATGTAATTGATGACCCCTGCTACAGATGTTACACATAATATTAGAGCTAGATCAGTAGAATTTGATTAGTTGATCAATAGAATATTAATCATCAACTCTTTAATAATGGATTCATTGCTTTTGTTATTTTTCAAGCAAAAATACCAAATATTTAATGGCTTCAGCTTCTCCAATGTGAAGGGTCAATGCTTTTCACTGAACTAAATATCTTTGGGTTTTGGACTGTTGGTTGCATAAGAGACATCTGAATGTGTTTCCTTGGGCTATGGTAATTTAATAATAATAATGATAAATTTTATTTGCAATGTTTTAGTGCTAGATCTTCATTTTTGGATTCATTCATCCTTCTCCTACGCACATTTGTCATGAAATATATATCAATAATGAAAATAATGTTTGCAGCTCTACAAAATATAAATGGTGGGCAGAGGCTTCCCTATCCTTGAAGCGCAGTCTTTTTTCTTTTTTCTTTTTTTTTCTTTTTTTTACAGGAGAACAGCAAAGATTCTATGTAATCATTAGTGAAGCAAGAAGAGAAATTTTAATGAACCCTCATAGAAAGCAGGCATTTGCATCAAAAAGAAACTGCACAGGGGAACAGTGTGTAGTGGTCTGTGTCTGACATGTGTCATTGTGAATGTTTTGTTAGAGTCACACCCAAAGGAAGACATTAGCGAGGGCTGTCTGGCTTTGACAGCCTCTCAACGCCAGTGGGTCCCACTAATGGTCAGACTGACTGACTGTATTTAGCAGCAGCATTTTAAGACACATCTCACAATGGGTTGATTTTAATCTAGTGGACAGTTGGGTAATAATTAACCCAAGCACATTTGGGTCCAGTTATTTCCAGTTTTGTTGTTAATTAAATGTCACTTCATCATCTCTTGGTGGTTTTCTTGAAAGGCAGTGAATGTAGTCTTTACTGAGTCAGTGACAAATTTTATAGAGGGCAAAACTGTTTTTGACAGATAGTGTTGAAAGAGCAGTAAATAGAACTGGGACAACAGTTTAACATAAGGATACAATTTTATTAATCTCAGATGATGCTCATTATTTTTTAACCATCTGTTCTCAGCCACAATGCAGATCCTAGACAAATATAGGACGTTTGCATTTCAGTTAAATATTGTGACCCAATTTTAGGTGGTTGTGCTCTCGGTGGTTAAGACGGAATGATCTTCCACTGTAGCTGAAGTGTAATTATTGTGCTATTCTTACTTACCCAGGGGAATAAAGAAGAGACGAGCAGTGGTTTACTGTCCTGTAAATTTTCTGTTTCTTAGTTCTGTTTTTTTTTTTACTGTGACACAAGAGCAGGCACAGCTGGTCCAAGATCTTTGACTCTGATGAACCTGTTTGTTCTGGGCTTTATAAGCATGTCTACGGGAATATACACAGCTCTCCTGACAGATCATTTAGCACAAGTTGGGGACTTGGTGATGTGCTCTTTTACCATACAGAGGGCTTATATAAAGAGAGATGCATGCTCTGGGATAAAATTTAAATTCATGTGCCATGTATGTTTGACATGGCTCTTTGTCAGCAGCAGCCAGTGGTACTGGATGATGTTTATGAAGAACTGATTTTAGGTTTGCATATCATCCTGATGTAAAGAGACACTGGCCTATACTGACTTTTTACCCTAATCTTTTTTCATTTTTGTCTCTCTCCAGGAAGTACAAGTCATGTTTTTGTTATCTCTTTTCCATACACCCCTTTGCAGGTTTTGAAAGAAAAAGCTTGCATCATTATGTGGCTTGCAAGGCTGAAATGCAGGCTTTGTGTCAGTTGCTGCATGGCAATGCTCTCCTGACTCATCAAATAGACTCAGACTTAATTCTTTTAATAATAAGATGGCCTTGGTAAAAATTATCCTCACTTGGGAGGTGGCTTCTTACAAATGGGATAGCTGCTTTCTAGCTGCTGTGACTTTCAATAGCTATGAATTCTTTACAGTGACAGCATGGCAATATACACACACCTAATTCCTAGGTTTTCAGAGAAATAGCAGCTAGGATTTGGTTCATATTTTCTCATTTATACTAATCGTTTTATAGTTGCCATTGTTTGGTTTTCTGTGTATGTTCTTTATTAGCAATGGTTACCAGACTGAAATAGGCTGTGTTAGGCTGTGGCTTTTTGCTCTATGCCCCTCTCACCGCAACCTGAACTTGTGCTACTGACTCTTCTATTTGTGTCACGCTACAACACTTGCAGGCTATGTTCAAGCACAAGTTTCACACCATATCCTCATAAAGCTTTCTCATTGTTAGACGGTATTTTCTCCTTGATATATTTCCTGGCCGAAATACACTTCAGCTTCTGTAGATTTATCTTATAATTTTGATGTTTTACTCTCCTAAAATGTACCTTCTCTTCTTGATTTTTTCTCTTTCTCACAGTGAATAGACATAATCACCTGAAGGACTTCATGCTGGTAGTGTCAATAGTCATAGGCATGGGTGGCTGCTGGTTTGCCTACATACAGAATCGCTACTCTAAGGACCACATGAAGAAGATGATGAAAGACCTGGAGGGCCTGCAGAGAGCTGAGCAGAGTCTGCATGATCTACAACAGAAGTGAGGGTTTTTCCCAACACCCACACAACAAACCATTACACTCTACACATACAGTACTGTGCACACATACCATCAGTTTTGTATTTCCACATTAAACACTGTATTAATTGCTGCATAGCTTTTTTCTATTCACATTGGGACTTCTGAACATCAAACAAATACATTTGTATCCTCAATTTATTTTTAAACTGACTTCAAGCTAACTTTGACTAGCTAATACTTTGTCAGCCTTATAGGAAATATCAGCCAGTGTTTGGCTGCCAGCGCTGCTTACATGTGGTGAACATGCAGAGAGTTACTCCTCACAAATCCCTTGCTCAATTGACTTGTCAGGTAATTAGCCGTGAATTAGCCGTAGCCTTTTTTTTTTTTTTGTAATAAGTTTGATACCTATATGACAGTCTAAACAACAGCCTCACCCGCTAATTGTAAATCCTTTAGAGTGTGAAATAGTGCCCTGTTCTGTTTCTGGAGGTTAAGGTTTTATTTGACAACAGTGTATTTCTTCTGGTGTTAGCAGAAGCAGGCATTGATTAAAAGGACTACAGGAGATTCTGTCAGTCTCAGTTATTTCCCTATGCAAATAAGATGTGTTTGATTGTTAAGAATTTGCGTATAGGGGTTCTCAATCCTATATATATTTCCACAGTCATAACTTTCACAGGATTTCACATACAGAGCCACACTGTTCTAAAACGGGAAGTGAAAGACTGTTGGGTAATGACAGACTAGAAAACTGGATGTTGAGTCATTGGACTGGACTTTAGACAAATTAGTCCAAATGACTTGATTTAAATGAGTTGCATTGAAATTACATTTAACCATTAGATTAGATGAAAACCTTTAAGACACATGACTGGTTCAAGGAAAAGATGTGCTGCTTGAATAGCTGGAATGGTATTTAAGTCAGTGTGAAAACTCTGTACAACTTTGACCTCTGTACAACTCCTTGTCATTTCTAGCTCATAGGGCCATGTTTTAGAAGCATCTTTTGGAAGCTTCAGCATTTGACTTAAGAGCCAACTACAACACAGCAAGCTAACTCCCAGGTATAATGTTTTCAACATTTCCCAAAGAATATGCACTTTAAATTGCATTTCCACACAGACTTTTGAATAGGGAAAAAAAAATTACAAAAGGACAAATGCACTTTGGGTAGGTGGATAATCTATTACAGCTTTTCTAATCTGTTGGGATAAATGCAGCAAGCTTTGCTTTGAGCAGTCATGATCAAAGCCATTGATATGGATATGGCATGAGTGCTTTTCCATTCATTAGATGTTTTTTTTTTTTTTTTTTTTTTAACTAAACAATAGCAGGCAGACTCTAACAAATGACTAATAGTTGAGTGCAGAGACTGAGTTGGCTGGCTACCAGACATCACCATAAAATCACAGGACAGGGTGGTTATCTCTCCTGCTGTGAGGCTGCAGATGTGCATGATCACTGCATGTAGTTAGGCTTCTTAAATTAATAATATACAGTGTTGTCCAAAAGTCTGAGATACTGAGCACCGGCTGCAGTAATACAGACTCTGTATCATACTGTGGTAGTGAAGAGAGGTCTTAGTGCTCAGTTTAGCAGCCCGTCCTCCCAGCCCTCACCTGTGATAATACAGTAATCTTTGGGAGGTGATTGAAGGGATAAATTGCAGATACAAAGAATCAAGATGAGACCTCTTCAGTTGCTAGTGTTTACTGTTGACTGGCTCAGACAACACTGGAGGGATTACATCTGAGAGCATTTGGTGATCCTGGTGATCCTGAGGAGTGGTTGGAGCAGGTTCAAAAAATGTTTGTGCTGTTCCACTTGTGTTTTTGCCACCTTGACCCTGACCTGGAAAACTCTTGAAAAAAGACATATGAGTGACTGTATCATGATTAAGGGTTTGAATCAACACTAATCTTTTGAATATTTGCGCTATAATTGATGTCCCAAAAATGGGTTAATGGTTGACCTCTGTGAACCTTGCAGTTTAGCCATTATTAAACAAAGCTTTGGGATAATCCTTTGACAAAATGCTTGTGGTGTGTGTCTGCGGTGCAGCCACCTCTCTGGTCTGACATGCAATACTGGTATGCAATACACTCACACCTGGTGTATTCTGGCTTCAGGCCACTGCAGCTTTAATGATTAAATGTTTTGAAATGAGATGTTTTAAAATAAAGCACCTCAAATAGAGCCAAATGTATATAGATAATTGGCATTATCATATAGAATAAATGAAGGTTATAAGACAATTCTAACTATTTTGGTCCTTTTAATACCTCAAGGAATGCTGGGAATGTGCATTTAAGCATGCACTGTCTCCTTTTATTCCTTTAAAGGATACTCAGCACAGCTTCATCTCATACACAGGACAGTTTTTTTTTTTTTTTTTTTTTAGCTTTTGAAAGGATAAGGCATTACCTAGGTTCACGAATGGTGCAGATGAAATGAGATGTTATGTTTTACTGTTGATGTTTTTCATGTGTAATTTTAAGTAATTTCTGATTAAAACAGGTTTTGGGACAGAGCAATGTAATTACAATCTGTGAAGTTGTAGCTTTTCTATGATTGAACAGAACCATAAGAGGATTCTTGTCATATATATTTTGGTATTATTGATTGGAGTTTTTTATGTACATCTGTTGGTTTATCATAAAGTTACCACCAAGTGTACTTAAACTAGAAAATGGTTAGAAGTTTTTTTTTTTTTTTTTTAAGAAAAGAAAATAAATATTTTGTAAAATGACAGTTGGTGGTCACTGTGAGCATGTTGTAGCATCATGTTGGTCATTGGAAATACCTAATCTTGATAACCTGTCCATTAGTTTTTCATATTTGAACAGTTTAGTTTAGAGTTTAATTTGACCAGAGGTTGAGCGTAAAGGAAAGCAGAAAATGGAAAGTGTTTAACCTCTGGGGATGTCATGTTTTGTTAGATTCAAAACCAGGGGCAGGAGCAGCAACAGGCGTTGCCACATGTCTGCATGTCATTCCTGGCTGGATTTTTGGGGAAACTAAACAGGGGTAGACAATCTGTTGTAGGCATCAAAACTTTCAGACTTTTTATTGCCCTCATGAGTTGCTCTTTGTGTCATCTGACTGTTTAGCAAACAAGTTTTCGAAACATGAGGCAGCATGGTCTAGCGAACGGTAAACAAGAGTGAAAAGACTTTGGTTTTTTGCTGGGATATGCCTGTTGAAATCAGTCCAAAAGAGCCATTGACTGGTCCAGTGAGGTCAAACCCTATCCCTCTGATATACTGCCAGGTCAGTGTTGCCTCTGTGGCTTTATACTATGATCAGTTGTGGAAATACACCTGCCCCTGCCAACCAGAGATAATAAATCTTAAAGGTTAACAAGTGTAGCTATTGTGAATTATACTCTTCAGGTACCCAAACAGTACATACCATAGCTGCTTGTAATACCTTATTAGTTGTATCAGTGAGTGCTGTGTTACTTCACATACAGTACCTGGACCAGTGCAGACATTGCATTATATTTCATATCGGAAGTTATGGCTATTGGTTCAGCGTTACAGTATAATTTATCTGCAGCAATGTAATACTGCTGTGCAGCCACATTTAAATCTAATCTGTGCTCGATAAGAGCTCAGTGAAAGGACAAACAAACCAAATGTTTTGGGCCTGTTTCTCATAAAGTAGAATATGTCCCATAAAGCAATATAATCTGAAATGCCTATTCATTATACTGAGGAAATGTAGTAGCTGGTGTAGTCATAATCAAAAGGCAATGTTGAGCAGAAATCAGTAAAGCCAGCCTAAAGATCTGCAGCCAAAAGCAGATGGTGATTCTCAGACATTTGGTGTTAAGCATTAAACTTTTCTAAATCTGATTTCCTTGTATGTGTTGCAGCCTGGACAGCCAAGTACTGCGGCTGTGGGAGATATACTATGTTATGTTGTATTGTAGGTCAGTGTGACTTGCAAGAAGAGACTCGTATCTCTTACAGCACTTGTTTTAGGAGGTGAGAGAGAGAGGTATGTCCTCTGTCTGTTGCTGTGCCTTTCTTCTTGATCCCTGCAGCCAGCTGCTCTCTTTCCATACCTTCAAGCGGATCCTTTGGTGGTGTCAAGTAGCCTGGCCCAACCATGGCTTCTCTGTTGGGAGACAGTGGGTGGAGGCTTTGACTAGAGCTGGATTTCCTGGGTGCCTTTTACAACACTGTTTGACCCTGTCTCTGTCTCATTGGTGGGAGATGGTGTTAAGCATGACTGCTTAACATGTCAGCTCGAGTGCTAATTCACCCACATTTGGACTGGGTGTGGTGTGTGCAGAAAGACATCCTGAAAAAGGACTGGTGACAAGGACAACAATGCTGCATATGAAAGGCATTTATAAATATGTTTGCTTTCCACACAAAATTTATGTTATTTTGGGAAATAAGATAAATACAAATGTCATCATATGTTTGTATAAAATGTGTGTGTTATTGTTTACCTTCTACAAAATCTGCATAGACACTGTGTCTGCGTCCTGTGAGCTCTGCAATGCAGGTCAGTCAAAACAGCCTTTGGTGTCTTCTCTCTGGACATTGTAGCTCTGCCAGTGCTTTTGAATCTTAGCTAGAGAATGGCAGAGGTCAGGGTCGAAAGCATTAGTAGGACTGCCCACCAGCTACATTTTCCATAGCTAGCTGTTTGGATCAACTTTCATTTCTCTGCCCTTCTGTGCTCCCTCTGCTGTTGTGTTTAGCCTGACAGAAGGAGAGTGCTGCTCCCTAATGACTGAAAGATGGTATTACTTTCTGCCCTTTAATGTTGCAGTCTAAAAAAAAGATTTTTGTTAGTTATTTGTTATGAGCTCCTATGATTGATTATCCAGACTAAGGACCATTTGGGTCGGGTCCATTGTAAGTATTATCACCCAATTGCTTAGTTTTACAGATCAAATGAAAACATTTTTTTTATAAGATCTTTTTACAGATCACGGTACATTAAAATGGTGTGTGTCTAAGCACAAATTATTATGTCATGATCCTCTTATAAAAGTAGACCTGTTTTAGGAGGCTAGTCTAAAAATATCCTACACACAAACCAACACATATCTGGACACTACAGGAGCACTGTACTGTTCTAAAGTTATACAACGACAGCTGTTCCCATTCTTGGCTCTGCTCTCTCTGATGTGAGTTTATTGTGCGCTGCCTAGCAGCTGACCATGACTGGCCATGCTTTCTACATGGTAGCCATTGTTTCCGGTGATGCATGACTGATGCAAGTCCTGCATTCCACACATGGCACTCACATGCTTATACGTCATGACTGTCCACAGAGAATGACACTGACCCCTCCTACTTTACATTTCTTTGTTTGGCCTTATTAAGCAGCCACTGATTTCTTGCTTTGAGGAGAAACTCAAGTTAAAAATAATTGTTTCTCTCTGTTCCCCTCTTTGTCCGCAGGCTGCAGATCGCCCAGGAGGAGCACCGTACGGTAGAGGTGGAGAAGGTTAACCTGGAGCAGAAACTGAGGGATGAGATTAATGCAGCAAAGCAGGAGGCCCAACGACTGAGAGAGCTGCGTGAGGGCACAGAGAATGAACTGAGTCGCCAAAAGTATGCAGAAGAAGAGCTAGAACAGGTACTTGCAAACTGATAAATGTCATTTAAATATGGTGTTTGTAGTTTTTAATTGAAAAAAAATCTTAATTTCAGCACAAAGGAGAAGCATTGAAAGTGAGTGAGCAGTGTTTTATAAACTTCAAAGGTGGAAACTGCACAGTATGTTAAGGTCTATCAGATTCACAGTGGCTATAATATAAATACACCCACTGAAGTCTTTGTCCATTAGGAATTTGGCAGGAACAGAACAGCACAGCCCACACAAGTGAGCAAAACACATGAATATTTGCTTGAAGGACTATCACGGTGATCAAATTCAGACGCTTGTGTCACAGGTGTTTTTTTTGTTTTTTTCACAGTGATAAATTGGAATCATGCAAGGCTTTTAGATTCAGTGTTGTTGCACAACATGTTGGAGTTTCTGTGGCAAGACCCATTCACCACTTAGTTAAATTAGCATATTCACAACTTTTCTTTCATGTAATATTGCTTTTAGCTGCAGAACTTCAGAGATCTTCTCTAATTCTCTGAATTCTGAAAATACTAAAAAAAAATTTGCCATTGCCAAGAATATGTTGGTAGATAATATAAAGTTTATAGTTGTGTTTCTTTTATGTGTTCATTTGTCTCCTAATGTTTGACATTTGTTGCAGGTGCGCATGGCGTTGAAGAAAGCTGAGAAGGAGTTGGAGTCGCGGAGTAGCTGGTCACCACCAGAGTCTCTCCAGAAGTGGCTGCAACTCACTCACGAGGTGGAAGTGCAGTACTACAACATCAAGAAGCAAAATGCTGAACGGCAGCTCCTGGTAGCCAAAGAAGGGGTAAGCCATGTAATTATTGCCTTGATCATAGGACTTCCTATTTAAAATCTATGAATTATGTTCCAAGGCAACTGTTCCACCAAGTCACCAGAGATGTAAGATTTGAGACGAGCTGACTGGAACAAGTTGGCTTTATATTTCAGTTCTTAATTCAATAAAAAATTGAATACATTCTAAATGAAAGTAGCCCAGGGCAGAGTGGGAATAAAAATCGGCTTAGGTCTATTGACTCAGACTGGGCCATTAAAACCCATCTGGCCCGTGTTTCTGTGATTAACTGTGATGATTTTTAGAATAATGCATGAAATAGAAACAACTCACATGAATTGTCTTGATATAAGTTTGTAATGTTGTAGTTATTTACATAAGTCAATTACAGATTCTGTGATGATTTTATTATTATACTTTATTACTTTATTAGTGTTTGTGAAGAAAACACATTTTCATATTACTGTTCACAACAACAGCAACAGCTGCAGTCTCAAAATTGACCAAATAAGTGATCCGACACACTAATGTGTCAAACTGAACAGGTGAGGCAGACATAAGGTACATGAGGCACATACAGTTTGCATTGTATTAAGTTGTATTTCTATTTTTCACTTTCACTCTGATTACAAGTTAGTAGCTATAGAGAGCCTGAGTAGAATTCAAACTGGACAGTACAGCAGTAAATATAGCACCAAACAGATTTAAATTTTTCCAGCTTTACTTCCTTTGCTTCTGTAGATCTGAGCTGATCACACAGACTTTGAGTATTTTAATTGGTGTATTAGAATTTCTTATGAATCCAGGCCAGAAAACTGAGCTATACAACATTATCCTGCTAAATAAAGTCAGACTAGTTTCCTGCTGTCTACTGCCTACTGCTTATGTTGTAAAATTTGACTGGTGTTTGTATTGGACTCACTGGGAGTTGTACTGGGAACTGTGGTCAGTCTTGCTGCTTTTTTGGATTTAACGTCTTTTTTCTGAGCATTTCAGCCATATCTTTACTTTTTTTTTTTTGTTATTTGTGTAAAGCAATACATTAACAGCCCACTGCTGGCCACATCAAAAGATGATAATATGAGCACATAAACAGACAGAGGGTTGCTAGAGCCAAAGGACCAATGTAGTTAGCCAGGGAGGGAGACAGACGTGAGGGAGATGACAGCAACACGGAATCACAGTGTGCCGCACAACCGGCTCAACATGGCTCATCACCACAACACAGTCACTCCAATTTAGCTCCCACCCTTTTCTCTGTCTCTCTCTGATGCTTTATTTGCGTCACATTGACCCACTGGCCCAATTTGTGTAGTTGTCCACCAGGAAACTCTCAAGGACCTCTGAGATTGAAGCAGTCTGATAAAGTAATCAATTATGCTCTTGTGAAAAAGTTATTTTATGTTCTTGAATACTCACTGCACTGTTGTTGTACCTGTGAACAGGTACAACATAGTGTTAACATAGTGTGTGTGTGTGTGTATAATGCTGAAATAAGTGTTTGTCACTTGTTTTCCCAGGCGGAGAAGATAAAGAAAAAGAGGAACACTCTCTTCGGAACTTTCCATGTGGCTCACAGTTCCTCCCTGGATGATGTGGACCACAAAATACTGGCAGCAAAGTCAGTCTCATATTTTTTTTTTTGAAAAATTGTCAAAGCTTAAAAAACAAAACAAAAGTGAAGTGGTCATTTATAGATTGGTTTTCCTCTTCACATATTTCTGTATCTACTTTCTCCTCATCTTTCTTAGACAAGCCCTGGGTGAGGTGACCGCTGCCTTGCGGGAGAGGCTTCACCGCTGGCAGCAGATAGAGATCCTCACAGGTTTTACCATTGTCAACAACCCAGGCCTTCCTTCACTGGCCTCATCCCTCAACCTCGATCCCAGCTTCATGGGTGGCAGAGCTACACCTCAGCACTTCATCATGTCTGACGACATGGACGACTTGGACGAAGATATCATGCCTGGAACTCTGCAATGTAAGAGTTCATCCGAATCTGTCGGCCATTCAGTGGGGAGTAGCAAACGAACCCCTAAACACTCCAAGACCCTGCTGGGGAAATCCAAAAATCAGCCCACATGAGAATTTGGACCTCTTATGGTACAATAACATGAATTTGTCCTTGTGGCCTCCCTGGTGGCGGAGGTAGTGAGCGTCACACATGTCTATGATTGAATGAGTGTTGTTTTACATTTGTATAATGTGTACCATGTAAATTCACATAATTGTCTTGTTCTTGTACACATCATTCCAGTTGAATGCCTTTTGTTAAATGTTCTCATTTTTGATAAAATGTTAAATCGACTCTCAGTCGATTATGGAGACTGAAAACTCCTGTGACTTTCCCTTGGAAATTGAACTGTTAAGAAAAATATACTTCTTAATGAGTACAAGTTTCCGTGCTGACCTATTTGTAGTGGTTGTTTCCCAAAATATGTGCTGCAAACCGTTTGAATCTGCTTTTGGTCAAACAAAGGAAATGTGTTATAAGCAGTCAGTGCCCAATTTAAATGGACTACAACACTCAAAAAATACACATATTTGCTCATCAAATCCTCATGTACAAAAACTGTTTACTTCATTGCAGAAAACGCACATCATTATCTAATCAGGAAAACCAACACAATTCTGATGATCATAATGCTTTGTAGCCATCTTGTTATGGGCTGTAAATTTAACTCATTATTATGGTAAAACCTGACACATATTAGGTTTGGGTTTGACTAACTACAGGTGAAAGTTGTACTGCAAAGTCCCTTTGCAGCTGCAATAGTGAGTAAGTCTTTTTATCAACTTTAATTGCACTACCTGTCTCACTCCCCTCTCTCCCTCCACCACTTTTCTGGCATTTGGCTCCCACTGTTTCTCATTGGCCTAACTACAGATGGCACCCGACTGTTGGAAAGGCGAGCCAGTGAACTGTGGTCCGTCGGTTCCGACTGTCACCCCATGTGGAAATATCCTGGTTGGCCATTTGTTCATGCCCCAGTTCAGTCGTCAGTCTGACTTCCCTACCTCTCCCCTTGACTTAAAGCCACACAAAGCTGTAATACTTTCTAATTGGCAGATACACGCAGCTGGACCCCTGACTTCTCCTCAGTTGCTTGCTTGCCACATTTATTCCCTCCTCTTAATCTTGTCACCACCCAGTGCACCCCTACTTTCTCCCCATAGTGATCGCTTACCTTAATTGTAAATGGACACTACCTTTCATAAAAGAGCTAACTATTGCTTTCTATGTTACCATCTGAGATATGTTGTTTTAATTGATAAAAGAACAAAATATTAAACAATAATTATCTCTTTCAAAAAAGGAAGTGGACTTTTCTTCTGATTCCCTACTCAGTCCCCCATGTCAGACTTTGTTTTATTTTGTGGTTGTTGATAATGTTGTTGTTTTGTGCCCGCAGCTCCCAGTATGATGTCCCTACGCCAACGCCACATTGACCCCCAGCTGGCCATGGGCTCCCAGAGGTTGGTAGAGAGTTGCCTGTTGGCGGGGCAGCAGGGAGAGGGAACCCCATACTCATCCAGGTCTAGGGCTACCCTCAGACAGTCACGCAGCCAGTCGTTTGGGCAGCTTGAGTGTCTTCCTCTGCCTCCTCTTTCCTCAGCTGTGTCTCATCCTTCCATCATCTTCAGCTCCAGCCCAAACCCTCAGTCTTTGTCCTCCTCTTCCTCCTGCTTACCCAGCGCTGTGGGTGGGGGTGTAACCCATCATTCCTCCCATTTATATCACACTTCTTTCCAGCCCATGGACCCCATTCCTGATTTTACCTCGTGCAGCGACAGCTTCGGGTACCCGCCTCTTTCCATTTCTCCACACACATCGCATGTGCGTGATTTTTCTTTTCCACCACCTTCTGTCACTTCAGTTTTTCAACACATCTATCATAGCCTAGGTACATTTTCTTCCTTTTTTTCACATTGAGTTCACTTTTTTTCATGCTTTCTGTAGTTTTTTTTTTTTTCACATTATTGCACCTGATGAGGCATTACAGAATCTATGCATTTACTGTTTTTCAACCTCTCAGTGTTCCTGATGTTCTTTGCCTGCACAACTAACAAGTGTGGAGTTCCAGTGTCCAGGCTGTGCCCAGCGTGTCCATGGCTTTGCAGGCATAGTGTAGATACACCCCAGCATGCAAGGCTTCAACTTAAACTCTTTGGGTCTGTTTTTTCTTGTTTCCTCTAACTTTTGTGTTGTTTTTTTTTCCCCACAGGGACCTAAATCGCTCCGACTCCGACTCGTCCCTGTCCCTCTCTCAAGTTGGTGATCGGCTATCTGCTTACAGCTCCAAAGGCCACCTAATGAAGCCCGCCTCTCTCATGCACGGCCTGTCCTCCCGCACAGAGGATGCTATCTCACTGCATGCTCACACCCCCAACGGAGGCAACCGCATTCATGAGGGCAGTCCTGCCGAGCTCGTCCCTGACAGTCCCATACTCATGAAGAAGGTGTACGGCATGGAGAAGTCGCCCAGCCTGGGAGAGATCAACAGTCTGTCAGAGTCGTCCCGCTCCCTCAGCCCCAACTCCACTGAACCTGACACACCATCACCTACAGGAGGGCAACTTGGGGTCGTGGGGCCAAAGGGCAGCACCCGCATCCCACAGCTGTCCTCCAAGAAGAGCCCTCTGGAGGAGGACAGTGGCTCAACAGGAGAAGACACAGATTCCACTGCCAGCCGCAAGAAACACACCTTCAAGATCTTCAAGAAACAGAAGAAATAAGGGCTACATGAACTACAGGCTTTCAAAGCTTTCTGACTGTGTTCCTCCAGTCTGTTTTTGAAAAAAAGTTTCAAAGTTTTTGGGGTTCATTAATGGTGAAATGATGGCACAATTTGTTGCCGCTGCATCTTTGTGTAGGCACAGCACCTACTGAGAGAAACTGTGGACTGTGGGAGCAAACAGCTTTTGAGTTTTATCTGCTTATTTGGTCAATGTTGAATATGTGGGGAATGGGTAGGTTTGTATATTGGAATGTAAAGTATTATTTATTCTGCAGGAAATTGTGCCAGTCTCAAAGGGAAATGTGTCTCCCAGTTGGTTTTTCTTTCTTGTTCTACAATCTATAACATTTTGCATGTCTTCACTTTTGTTTGACTGATACTCGAATGCTCTTAGTGTTTGCTTGTCGTTAACCTGCTTAAACTACACTTGATGTTTCTTTTATTGCTACCTAACCACCTAGCCTACAAATCCAAAGTGAATGCGCACTCCTTTATTTTGACTGAGTACTTTGTTTCTATTGATGGTTACAAGTTTTTCTGTCTTTCGTTGTCTTCTTCTTGGCAGAGCAAATAACACATTGAGAAGATCCTCAAACAGAAGTGTAGTAGTGAAAGCGGGACTAGTGTATTTGTGACTCAGATTTCACTTTCGGCTGTCAAAAAATGTGCTAAGGACTGTTTGGATTAAAAATGCCGTAGTAATAATTTGCAGCCTCGGATCTAACCCGAGAGCCCCTGAGTGACATCATCTTGTCTACAAATGAGAGTTGGACAAGAGGTAAATCTCCCTAAAAAGTTACAAAAGGACCATTAAATTACAGCATTTTTCTTTTTAGGGTTTTTAATATTTAGGGTTGAGTGCATGTGAGCATGAGTGTGAGAGAGGAATGCTGTGCTGATGTGTCAAGCTTTAAAACAATGCCAAGTTTCACTACTGATTAATCTTTGGGTTTATATGTATCCTCCCTGGACCGGGAGTCAAACAAGTGTTTGACAAGCGGGACAGGAGTCAAACACTTGTTTTTTTTCGCATTAAAATGTCCAGATTGGATGTTGTGTCCTTTTATCATTAGGCAGAAATGTTACCAAAAACTTAATTACCAAAATGTTAAACATAAGTTAAAAAATACCAGACACTGCGTGACAATGGACTCTTTTCTGTCTGTGTAGTGAATTTAAAAATTAGAATACAACTCGGAAAAAGTCTCTCTGAGGTGCTAGCTTTGTACACCTGCAGTATGAAAACCAGGATATTTAACACAAAATACTCAAAGCATATTTTTAGTCATAGCTATTAAAAAAAAAAAAACAGTTAACAGTTATGTCTTGTTTTTTAAGATTATCCTCCTAAAAGATAAATGGCATCCACAAACATGGTGCGACTTTAACTTGGATTTTGGCTCCTGCTCTTCTGTGTCTTATCGTTTTTGTTTTAATAATTATTCAGGTGGACAACGAAAACTTCACAGCAGTTTGTCAGTGAAGGATGGGCGCTGGTAAGGGCTAAACTACAAGGCAAAATAATTTGCTCTGTATGAGATAGAAATTTTCAAATTGTAATCTACCTTTTAAGGAAGTTCAACAAGTTATGGAGGCAGAAGACCAATAGTGTCAAAAGTGCCAAATCACTGTTCCTGTCAGAGGCCTTTGTATTTGTAGTGTGTTTGGCTATTTGAGCCCCTTTTACACAGAACCCAAAACCACATGATGTATACTGTATATTCTGAGTTCAAACACTGAATGTCCAAGGGTATTCTTTCTGTAACAGTATCATCAGTATGATATGTTTACATTTGTTACAGATAATTCCCATCCTCAGATTACCACAGCAAAGAACGTTGTGCCAGTTTTAATACTGACAGCTTTGTATGAGCACAGAACTATGCATCCGTAGTTGTAGATGATTACTAAAGTAGTGCGGACACCAGACTAGGGTGCTCCTGATCAAAGAACAACCAAAAAGTGCTGCAAAAGACAGTCGGCCTCCCCCAGCCTCATAATGTAACAGGTGTTTTGGATGTTTAAGACATGTCGAAATATGTTATTTTAGAAACCAGCTGAAAAAAAATAACAATTTCCTACTGGTACTTTTTTAAAGTGTCATTTGTACTTCTTTTGCACGACAGCTGTAAATGGTTTATGCCATCTGAATGTGTTTGACTGAGTGTGTGTGTGTGTGTGTGTGTGTCCGTCTGCTCACAGTATAATGCACTGTAATGTTGATGCATGTCAACTGCTGTAACGAAACCTATATTGGGTTAGAAGAGTGGATCGGCTTAAGCTCTTTACTCCCCACCCCTCTTGTTTTTTCTTTCTCTTTAATTTGAGCTTCTATTTATGAATACATATGGTATATTTGTACAGAGAAAATGATAATTTTGCATCTTCTGTGATGGTCTAGACTTTTATGGCACTCCTGCATGATGGCAATAAACTATTTTGAATGAAAAATGAGCTGATTTTTCATAAACATCACACTACACATTACATGCTGCACAACACTTGGGTTTCCCCTCAAATCTGTAGAATTAAACAAAGGTTTGGTTCTCTCAAATAAGATGGCAGCGAACTTAATAAGTTTGCTATAAATCAAAATTAAAATGTAAAAGTACAATCTTCCTAACAGGTGAATTAAGTCAGTTTACTTTTAGTTATATGTAAGTATTGCTATGTGGCCTGATTCACAAAGCTCCACCTTAACTACAATGTGTATATAGTAATTGGGTGGAGCAGTGTGCTGTTAAATATTTACCTAAGCTTCATAACCGAGGTGGAGCAGGATGAGGTCCGGATCTTGAGGATTCTTGTTTCTCTTTAGCTTGAAAATCTTTAATGGAGAGATTAATGACAACACTGTGTGGACCATGGATTTCTGTATACTGTATAAATATGTCTGTCATCTGTTTTGCCTCAGTATGCAGGTAGGAGCAGGTTTCATCTCTTGATCTCTGAAACATTGGTTCCTTCTGCTTTTAACTAACAGCTGTCATTAGCAACTCTGTTTATGAGTATGTGCAACTGTATCTGTATGTGTCCTCTGTCACAAACAGATTGTCTGGGGTTTAGACGAGGTGACACTCCTGAATCCTCCGGAGGAGCCTCTGCCGGACCATCATTTGGAAATACTTTACTCTTGTGATGAGCCTGCTGCAGTACAGCTGGACTGTATTGTATCCTTTGACACTGGCATCATTTCCACCCTCCTGCTAAGAGAGTGGAGCTGCGTCCCCGGTGACCCTGAAATAAGGACTGTGGAGCTGAACCTGCCGGACTGGTTGGTGTATCAAGCTGATGGGATTGTTCCAGAGTCTCAGTGGGTGCTGAGTTGTGTCCTTCGAGCCTCGGTCAGATACAGTGGATTTGATGACACTGAGGTGTCTATCACAGCTCAGGATGTGGCAGCTCTGCAGCCTAAGCCCTTCTTTAGTCGACCTGTCAAACAGCATCAACTCTGCCTTAGCTGGAGTACAGAAATGCTGCAATTAACGCAACAGTTTTTAAAGAGACAATGCCCTATGGAGCAAGGTAAGGTTGAATCTGCTTAAGTTCAGTTGATAAAGGCACCTTAAAACAAAAATAGTCCAAGTGGAGCTTTAAAAACTTAAATTTCCTAAAATCAGAGAGCAATTTTCCATATTGGTCTGTTTTTAGATGATAGTTATGGAATAAATTATGTTTGTCATGCAGAAACGGTGCATTTGCTGTCTTCAATTTATGCTTCAACTGGAGAAAACTTTGGTATCACAAAGACCCTGGACCCTTACAGCAGTGAGGTTCTGGAGTATTTGCGTATTAAAGCCATCTCTTTCCCATGGTAAGACAAAAGGCACACTGTCCACTGTCTGTTACACAGATACAGAGATATATTTATGGTCAGTTAAGGAAGTGTACTTATATTTTTCCCAGGTGTTTGATCTCTATCTGGATATTTGTGACCACACACTGCCAGGAAAGTATGTGTGGCGTGTTTCATCATATCGACTCTCATAATAACTACGTCACACCAGCATTGTTCCTCACAAATTCAGGTATAATTAAGATTTTTCTCTAACCTTTCAGATCTTGAGGCTCTTCATGTAACTACCCAATACTTACTCTAGTGTCTCATATACAGGCCAGCTACACATCCAGGTGAATGGAGAGTCTGAGGAATCCTCTGCATTCCTCTCTCCATTCAAGGTGCCTTTGAGTGAGTGGTGCCAACTCAGTTTGATGTTGCAGGGTCAAACAGTGAGTAGTCTCTTGTTGACAAGCGATATCTTTGGAGCATGTAAATAATGGTAATAGTAATAAAAATGAAAAATGAAGTTGTCATGTTGACTGTATCTCAGGTGACTGTCTCCATGGTGTGTGTGGATCAGGAGCAGAGAACGGTTCGATCTACAGAACATTTGTAAGTCTACTCTTAACATGACAAAGTGATTGAACTGTATTAACAGCAGAAATGCACTTCAAGTGTTCTTCATGTCTATTAACACCATGTCTTATAGGCTGAGACATACTCTCATGCTGGATGACACAGAGGGATATTTTGTGATTGGAGGAGGAAAATATATAAGAGGTGTGGAAGGGTATTTTGGACCAGTGGTTTACTACCGCAGCAAAATATCAACTCACAGCATGGTAATACACTGCAGCTGCCCACAGTTATTATCCATGCCAACAATTAGCTGCACTAGAGTCTGATGATTTCTCTCTTCTCCAGTCTGAGCCTGTTATTCCAGATGTTATTAAGGATGTGAACCTCACTGGATGGCTTCACAACTGTCAAGAGTTTCATCTTGAGTTGAACATGAAAATCAGCGGCTACTCTCTCAAGGCCAAACAGAGGACAGAGTCTGGTAATGGGCTTATATATCCACTAGGTGGTGCTAAAATGACTATCTCAAATATTCTAAACAACCCTCTGTAGATCTACTAAAGGTACAAAGAAACTAACTGTCAGTGCGTTTTTTCCAGAGAGCTGTTTTGATGCCTTCCATAAGTGGGTGATAAAGGACAGACCATCATTAAATTCACAGTGTGACCAGTGGGAGGCAACTGTCCCTTGCAGAAGACAAGCTGCAAAACTGTCCAAGTTATTTGCTTTCAAACATGGTAAGAGATAAACTGCATAAAAAGTATTCACCTGGTGCTGGTACAAAATATCCAGACGTGGGAGGTAACTATAACTAGGTTAACTTAAGTACTGCACTTGAGTTGAAAAGTTAGTGACCTTGTTCAAAACATGAGATACCTGCACCATGATTTAGCACTGTGAAAGGGGATCACTCTTCACAGTTAGTATTTACGAATGTTTCACTGGTAATATTTTGCATTTTCTTAACACCCTTTATATCCAGTTATCCCTCCTTAATTTTCCCTAAAGCAGCTTTAAGATCACAGACATCACCCGATTCCACACAGTCTGACAGTGTTTATAACATACGCTTGCTTGTGAAGGGTTGTTCTACTCACTGGTTGTATCTGTGTGTTATCTAACATAAACCAATGAAACCAGTTCCATTGCTGACTTGCAGGAGGAAGAAGGGTTAGCCTGCCAGCTGTGGGCAGAGCACTGTACTCCTTATCACTTCATAAGCTGGGCAGAGCGAGCAGCACTGGAGTGATCAGAGAAGTGTTACCACTGCTGCTTCAAGCTGGCTGCTTAGCTGATAACAGAGCTCTGCACATGTCATCGGTGCTCTACAGCACTGGCATGGGAGTGAGGAAACAGCCCTATAAGGTGTGTGTGTTTCCGGATCTGGATCATAGCAGAATTATGCCTGTGTTGTGAACGTGTCCAATTTTTTAATGTTCTCTCATGCCCTTGTGTTTGGTGCAGGCTTGGCTACTTGCCCTGCTGGCAGCCCAGAAGGATGATCGATTAGCACTTCTGCATCTTGGGCACCTGCACCACCAAGGGCTTCACGGTCTCCCCACAGACCAAGACCTGGCCTATGTATATTATGCAAACATTGCTAAACAGACAACTTTAGACCGTCATAATCCCACACCAGAGCAGGTAACACATGTATAACTGGATCTTTGGAGTGCTGATTTTTGCATAATTAACATAACTAATATTAGCCTTTTCTTGCCCAATATGCACTCTAATTAATGGCATGATTTAAATGATCATGAACATTTTTGTGAATAACTATATAACACAAATGTTTGGGAACTGTGTTTGTATATTAATATATACTAGCAGTATCAGACATACAGTAATTGTGCTGCAGAGGCTGGGAAAAAACTCATACATCTAATCTACACTTATTTTCTTCACATTATTTACCTGTGGGGTTATTGGAAACATATGAGCTAATATGTGATATGGTAATACATTTTCTGCTCCCCTTATTGTGGGTATAGTTTTCAGATTTCTATCATCAATAAGTTTACCTTTGCTTTCCATACAAACAAAAGATAACAGTATGATAAACATGGTATTATTACATTTCATTCAAAGCACACAGTAGCATTTCTGCAACAAAAGAAAATGAAATCCATTGATTTTTACACGTTTTCCCTCTTTCCTTTCTTTTATTTTTTTAGACATTTGTTGAGGCTGTCTACCTGAACAATGATGAGCTGCTGAATCTCCAGACAAATGAAGACCATCATATCTTCCAGTGGCTAAAACTGCAGGCACGCAGAGGAGTAGCTGAAGCTGAGGTACCCTGTCATCTCTGAATATGGAAAAGCACAGAAAGTTAGATTTTAAAAGTAGTGGGATAAAAATAAACACAAATATATGACAGATTTTAAGAAATGAGGCCTCTGGGTGTGTGTGCACACTACTCAGATTTTAAGTTTGAGCCTCAAACTGCGTCTTAGAGGGTAAAAAGAAAATGACACATGGACAAGGTGTGGCTATTTTATCATGGAATATTTTTTTTCTGTCTTGCAGCAAGCAATTGCCCGCATGCTGTTCTGGGGTCAGCAGGGAGTGTCTCCAGACATCCAAAAGGCTGTGAGACACTACGAAAGGGGAGCTGTCCAATGGGGGGACCCAGTGTCAATGTATGACTATGGCATAGTCCTACTGCAGGTCAGATTTACAGTTCTTGTACAGTGATGTGTGATTCTCTTGAAGAAGTAACAACTCCTCTGTAGTTATTTATGTGCATTATTTCATAGTATCTGATATAAATGTGTTTCTCTGTAGGGACATGGGGTTGAAAAGGACATTCCAAAAGCTGTCACTTTCCTCCAGAAAGCGATGGACCAGGTTCTGTATGGCTAAAACTTAATCACAGCATTACTACTGTCATCAGTCTGCTTTTCCCACTCTGCACACCCCATATTTCTTCTCACAAGTTTTCTGTCCCACAGGGTTTTGTTCCTGCAATCAGTGCCCTGGCCTGGTACTATGAGCAGTTTGAACAGGACTACGAGCAGGCAGTGCAGCTATGGGAAAAAGCTGATCTCCTCGAGAGTCCAGATGCTGCTTTGAATCTTGGTGTCATATACTCACAGGGTCTGTATCCAGGAAAAGCTGCTGACAAGGTGAGCAAAACTGTAAAAAAACAAAAAACAAATACACATCATCTACTCATATACTAACGCACTAGTCTTCAACGACTAAATCATGAGGTACAAAATGTGTCTTTTCCACAGTATATGGCCTATAAGTACTATCTGAGGTCAGCAGAAAGAGGGAACATCAGGGGGGCACTTCACCTCGCAGACAGCTGGACCACTGGGATACCTGGCCATGTCAATAGACGTCCATCAGATGCTGTTTTGTTAGTTGCTTACCCTTTTATTTATTTCACATATATGATATTTCCTTATGTCATGACTGAAATATCTGTTCAACTGCCTGCAGGTGGGTAAAGTGGGCAGCTGAGCACAACGGATACCTGGGCAGTGTCTTACGGAAAGCCTTGGATTCATATCTCAAGAGTGACATGTAAACTTTTCTCTTTATTCACACTTGCCATGATCCTTATTATGATCAGGCTTCTTGGTTGCAGTTGCAACAAACTGACGTTCTCGCTCCTCAACAGGTTCAGCTCACTTTTATATTTCATAATGGCTGCTGAGTTGGGGTATGCCGCCGCACAGTTCAATGTGGCATATCTCTGTGAACAAAATACAGTGAGTTTTAGAAAATATACATTTGAAACTTCTCTCTATTAGCTGTAGTGTCATGGTCATGTGACTGTTTCTCTCGCTCTACAGTCACTCTTGGAATTTGTTTTCACTCTGTGTGTCAATAGGGAAGTTTTCTGGATCCGGCTTTTGCATCACACTGTATGTTGAGATATTACAACCTGACAATCCAGAGCCAAAATCCTGACACTTATGGTAAATCGTTATCTTTGGAACTGAAATATTTGCACACTTGTGCACAAACTTACTGTACTTTACTTGACCTCTAATTCTATCATCTCTCCAGCCTTGATTAGGATGGGTGACCTCTTGTATGAGGGGCAGGTTGACGGGCAGAAGAACTTGTTTTCTGCAGCAGAGATGTACAAACTGGCAGCACTACGGAACAAGCCACAGGTCTGTTTCATTTGAATCAATGTTTTTGTGTGTATATCTTGTGCATGTAAGTTATACTGTTCTTCTATAGGGATGGTACAACCTTGGCCTCCTTGCTGAAGAGGGTTTCAGGCTGCCGCTGTCAATACTGACTGACCTGGGCCTCTCAGAGCTGTACTTAGGAGACAACAGTTTGCTTCTAAGTGCTTTGTATAGAAGGTGTGTTCAATTCGTATGTGTATGTATCAGCTGTGAAAGTGCTGCATACTGTCTTCAATGTAAATCTGTAAAAAAAATGATTCTGTATTTTCTTCCAAAAGATGCAGAGACTCAGAAGACACAGATTCCTACTTGCCTTGCAGCCTTGCCCTCTTCAGTGTGTATCTTCAGTCATTCCAAAAAGACTATAGTGCTGTTATTAAGGTCAGTGTAATGTGTTGAAGGTACATATCTAATTAATGTATATATCTAAGTAGTCATGCTATAATATAAAAATACTCAAATATTTTTGCATTTGAAATTTTACCCGAGTAAAAGTACAGAAGTATTAGCAGGAAAACAAAAACTTCATTAGAGTGTTTGAATAAATGTACGTGGTTTCCACCCCTAGAAATACAGCAGCAGGTCAACAGGCACATCAATAAAGACTTAATTGTGATGTTGACATTTGGGTCATGTTATTTCCCACAGTTCTCCGCTGCTGTTGCTGCGGTTGCAGCTCCAACAATATTCCTAATCATCCTTGGTGTACTCAGGGGACGTGTCCTGTCTCTCAGCTAGAGCCAAAATTCTTATCAGGATCATCAGCCCAACAAACTGAAGGACTAAACTGAAAAGTTGAGCTCCACACCAACAGCACAGCAAGTCTCTCTCAGTTTACATACTGTATGTTTACTTTGAATGAATGTTTTGTACCTGCCTGAAATGTTTCTGGTTTGTATTTTTCATATTGTTAAAAGAATGTATTGACTTTAGAATTAACTTGAATGTACAATAAAGAACCTGAATAAGTGCCATGAAACCTGTAGTGAGCTTCAAGATATTGTTGGTTGATATCAGATGTTTCAGATGTTGTTCTTAGATGTCCTCTTGTCTCTCATTGTAATGACTCTCATGGCGGTTTGTGGGTGGATGACTTACAGAATATCAGGTCAACCATTACCACTTTTATCATTTATCAAAGTGCTTACTAAACAAGTATCTAACAGGTCACCTGGGCCTCACACATATCTTAAATTTGAAAATTACATTAACTAACTTAAACCCACAGTATTGTTTTCCTGCTTTTGTGTGGACTGATCTCCCACTGTCTAAAAGGTCAAAATTCAGTCTTATATTTTGCATTCATACAAAAAACACCAATGCCAGAGGATTTGTCGAAACTCATACTCAATTCAAACAATCACAGACACCTTCCCTGAGACCAAATCCCTTCAACATTCAACAGCTCATTAACACTGACAGAAAAGTTTAATTGCTTTGCCTCTGTTTGTAGAAATGATTCAGTGTTAGTTAGGGGTGAGATAGGGGTGAGTAGATAGGATGGAAAAGCTTTGAAATTTGTCATTTTAATCAGCTTTAAGAAAAAAAAAGATGTGGTCTTTCTGCAATTGAGCTGCCTCTGATATAAAAAAAAAATGTAGCGTTCAAAGACAAGAACACCATCTCCACTGTGAAACATGGAGGAGGCTCAGTTATGTTGCAGGGTTGCAGTGTAGAGTCTGGTGCATTGAATCTGTGCCGGGCACAATGAAATCAGAAGATTATCAATGCATTCATGAGGGAAAGATACTGCCCAGTGTCAGAAATCTCTGTGTTGCAGGTCATAGCTCCTCCAAACAGGATAATGACCCAAAAGAAGAATGGATGAGAAGAAAACATTGGTCCTGGATCTTAATCCAACTGACCATGTAAAGACCTGAAACTCGCAGTTAGGTGAAAGCAGCCATTGCACCTGGGAAGTGGAACAGTTTGCTCAAGAAGAGTGGACGATTCTACCTGCTGAAAAGAGTTCCCAATATTTTTGTCCATGCCATTTTAATTTGTTGTATTATTTGAAATAATGTGTTACATCAAAAATTAAAAGCAATGTGTCTGATCTATTAGATATGGAGTAAAAAAATGTAGATGCCAGTTAGTTTTATTAGTTACTCCTTTAAGAGAAAATCATGTAATATACATTTATATATTATAAAGGTGCCACGTCTGTACATCAATAACTGCTAATAAAGTTTTTTTTAGACTTTATCTGGGTGTCAGGTAAAAATTTATGAGGAGGGGCTGGAGATAGGTTGACCGCAGACGTCAGTCCACAGTTTACTGTCCTTGCCTGTGACATAGCCAATTAACAGAGCACGAGATACAGGTGGTCACAGCTTTTGTGTTTGTGAACACCTGTAGCTGTGGCCATTAATTAAACAAATAAAACAAAGGGAATCAAGCTGGAATTACAATTCTGCTGGTGGATAAAAAGGCTGGAAACGTGCGATAATGTAGGCTTAGTTGAAATTCAAGTTTTTATGTCAATTTTGAGTCAAAACTCAAATTTTATTTCATCTACATTGTGTGTTTGCCACAATTCACTTGGCTTTGTGCAAACTGCAATTGAGAGGTCAGGTACCATTGTAAAGAGATTTTGTGTGTGTCCTCTAAAAATGATATTTATGCTGTAGTTGCCCAGCCACCTAGACTGAAGACAATCTACAAAGCCTGAAAACTTAGCCAGGTGCAATAACTTTGAAGTAAGAGGCAGGACTCAGTTATTTCTGATTTATTTATCACATTGTGCATTGTTATTTTACATATCAACAATAATTGAGCGATAGGTGACTTTGAACAACATACAAAAGCAATTTATCATGAGAGCTGTCTTTAGAGATGTGACTGGACTGCTTTATGTCTTATGACTTGAGTCTCGTCCTAAAAGTCATTACACACTTGAGAGCTGCCCACAGTCCATGAGCCTTACAGTGTTTTTCTATTGATTAGCCCTGATTGAGTAGTTCAAAGTTAATGCTTTGCACAAGAGCACTTTGACAGAAGTTGTTCAGGGTAAGGAGAGGTTTGCCCATCAACTTTCAACATAGTTATTGTCATCTTGTAAAGTATTTTGCACAACAGTTTATTTTTTTTAGTATAGCCCAACCAGTGCTGGACTTGTGAGGCAGACATTGATATTTGACAGTTTAAAAATTAAGGGAACAATACAGTGTCTGATATTAATTTCTCGTAGACAACCTAATTGAGACACTGTTTCTAAATTATCTTAAGCACATATTTAGCATTTTATTTAGCATATATCAATATATCTACCCCATATTATTACCACTATTTTACTTTGTTTGTCTTTTGTTGTTATGTTTTTTTCATTGATTTAAGGCAGCATCATATTACATCCATGCAGCTTTCATCCAATGATACCAGAATCTTTTTTTCCACAATACTTTTCATGTATTGTGAATTTCAAATGTCCCGTTAAGGGGTATGCTTTCTAGTGCTTCAGTAAGATCCTGCACAGATTGTGATTTAAGTGCACTGCAGCCAGGCTTGTGACTTGGAGCTCAAAAGCTGAAATGCACACAAATGAATAGAAAAGGATACTGCAGCAGTGAGGGAATGTGAAATCAAATTAGTTTAACTCATCAAATTTTTACTTTGTGCATGTTGGCTTACCAAGAATGCAGCTCCTGACACTTTACATTATCAAAGCAATCTGTCTCCTTTTTCCTTTTCTTCCCATTTTCATCCATTGGTTTCCCTCTCATTTCTCTTTTTTCCTTTTCCGCTCTTTTCCCTCCCTCTGTCTTCGCAGATGGGTTATTTGGCCGGTGAACGGGAGGAGAGCTGTGCCAGTTGTGAGCGTACAGCAGTGGCAAAGAGAAGAAAGTCACTCAGGCACGAGTGGGAACTGGACTCATTTGTGGAATATACAGCAGGAATAACACGGAGGTGCAGATACAGTACAGGTAGTTTATGTGTGTGTGTTTGGGGTGATGGGGGTGTAACATAGTCATCTGTATCACTAAATTATGAGTTCTTCATGATTGTTTTTTTTTTGTTATTAGAGTTTTTAACTGCAGCATGGAAGACTTGCAGTATATTGAGACCCCCTTAATATTTTTTACAACATATTTCAAAAGTTAGTTACAGACTCCAAAGAAATCTATGTAAACAAAGTGTTTATCAGCTGGCTTGATATTATAAAATCTAATCTTTTACGTACCTACATTGAGTTTAATCATTATATGTTACATGAATCATATATCATTTTTGCTTAACCCCTTGACCCCAAGTCATAGGCAATTTTTTTCTTCCAATTTCTGACTGAAAAAACCAATTCTGTAGCTCTACAAGTGCAAGGCAAAATGAATAAGCTTGGACTCTATGGATAAGGGGCACTTGGGAGAATTTTGAAATACACTAAGTCTCCCTGTCCTTATCACCAGGCAAGTGAGAGAATGAGATTAGGAAAACTCAAGCAAAAACTGAATTTTTTATTTTGCGTAAAACTTCTAAATTAGAGAGTGAATGACAACCTTATAGAATGAGTTGGTATACATTGATGCTACTGAACCTGTTCTAACAATTCTAAGCTGCCACTCTTTCAAATATTATGTGAAAGAAATAACAACAATGCTAGTACGAGGTGGCCTCTCCATTTTAACCATTTGGAGTGCCAAATGTGCTAAATAGCTTTTCTTCCAGGTAATCTAACTGTGAATAATTTGGTTTCCATTAATAATCGCTCTCTGCACACAATACACCAGTCAGACATTTAACTGTTATCTCCACATGCAGTGTTTTTTTATTGTACACCTCCATTACTGGGGGCTTGAGGTAGACAAGCAGCACAGACTTCCACATGACGTATACTGGTAAATTGACCAGTTGTTACAAACATCTTACTGTGAGTTATCTCAAAGTTTGAAGTTAATTTGGGCATCTATTTCTATACAAACAGTAGAGGGCACAAAACTCCCTTCTTAAATGTGGTTGTCACCCTCAATTCACAAATCAGTCTCTTCCCAGTATGGGATGAATAGTTAAGTGTATCTATTGGAAGAAGGTAACAGACTGGTGTCGAGCATCTTTGATGAAAAATCATAACCGTGAAGTTTTGTTCTTAAGTAATTGTGTTGGTCATATTGTGATTTGCTTGGCAAGGCTAGAAAGGCTAGACTAATTTCATATGATACCAAACATGCTGTTGTTGAGGAAAAAATTCTACATTCTACATTTCAAATGTGACTGATCATTATATTTAAGATGTTGATATTTTAGGAAGCTAAAATTCAAACTGTTGCTACTCAGGCTTTACTTTATACATTTTGTTTACACAATCTGAAGCACCAACATCTGACCTTCTCAAAATGGTTGCAGTTGTCTGCATTTTTTTTATAACAGATATGGCCCAATCCTGTTACTGGGACTGGGATCCCTGTATTTTATTGTAAAAAGTTTCTATTGAAAATTACATGCAGCGATGAGGTAGATGATACAAAAGGTACTGTGATAAATGAGATAAGTGTGCTATAGGTGTATCAAAACAATACTATCTATCTGAACAAAGGTATCTGAAAATTTGCTGCATGGTGCAGTCGCCTCGCTTCTTCCTGTCAACAAAGGTTTGGCTTGTTAATTATCTAACCAGGGAAATGATTGTCAATGAACACAACAGCAGAATTTGAATCCTATCTGAAATGCTGAATAAAATCTGAGGCCACCATTCACAGGACTGGAACCAGGCTGCTTCTTTGTTTATTTACCCCACAAGTTACTTTCAAACTTGAGCACAATGTAAAAAAAAATTACTTTAATACCCACATATATTCACAAATTCTCACAGGTTTTG